TCGAAGTGGAATAGAGTGTCACGATAGAAACCCTAATCGTTCGAAGCTCAAAATGCTATCCATGAGGTACCAGCCGTGGTCATGCAGACGTCGGTATGGCAGCGAACTCAAAAAATGGAACTGCTTTACTATCTTGTCAAGGAAACGATCTTGTTTAAAAGCCCTGATAAAAACATTAGCAGCGAGTTGTTTCGATCCACCGACGTCTGGGTTATGTGCCCGCACTGCGCCACGCTTCTTCAAAGTGGGACTAGAATGCCACGATTGAAATGCTAATCGTTAGAAGCTCAAAATTCTATCCATGAGAAAGCAGCGGTGGTTATGCAGAAGTCGGTATGGCTGCGAACTCAAAAAATGGAACTGCTTTCATATCATGACAAGAAAGCGATCTTCTTTAAAAGCCCTGATAAAAACATTAGCAGCGAGTGGTTTCGATCCACCGACCTCTGGGTTATGGGCCCAGCACGCTTCCACTGCGTCACGCTGCTTCAAAGTAATGTCAGAGTACAACGATTTAGATCGTTACCACTGCAAGTTCAACATCCTATCCATGAGAAACCTACGGTATTTATGCAGAGGTTGGAATGGCTGGGAACTCAAAAAATGGAACTGCTTTAACATCATGTCAAAGAAGCGATCTTCTTTAAAAGCCCTGAAAAAACATTAGCAGCGAGTGGTTTCGATCCATCGACCTCTGGGTTATGGGCCCAGCACGCTTCCACTGCGCCAGGCTAGTTCAAAAAATGTCAGAATACAACGATTGAAACCGTAACCGCTACAAGTGCAAAATGCTATACAACACAAACCAGCGGCAGTAATGCAGAGGTCTGTATGGCTATGAACTCAAAAAATGGAACTGCTTTAACATGTCAAGGAAGCGATCTTCTTGAAAAGCACAGATAAAAACATTTGCGCCGTGTGGTTTCGATTCATCAACCTCTGGGTTATGGGCCCAGCACGCTTCCACTGCGCCGCGCTGCTTCAAGGAGGGACAAGAATGCCATAAATGAAATCCTAATCGCTATAGGCACCAAATGATATACATCAGAAACCAGCGGCGGTAATGCAAAGGTCGGTATGGCTATGAACTCAAAAAATGGAACTGCTTTAACACCATGTCAAGTAACCGATCTCGTTTAAAAGCCCAGATAAAAACATTAGCAGTGGGTGGTTTCGATCCACCGTCCTCTGGGTTATGGGCCCAGCACGCTTCTAGGTCCGCTTTGGGGAATGAACTCGTCATCACGCTGTGCAGGGTTAACTTATCCACTCCATGCGGGTACATCGTTTCGCCTTTCTCTGGGCCCTGTTTTACCCTCTTCCCAGAATGTTGGCTGGTACCCAAATCTACTCTAGGCTTTTGCTTTTGGCAAATTAACTGTTGGATTAACGCGCGACCTGGTCGTGTTGCTGAAACAGTCCGAAATTTCGCGTGCGGTCCTTGTCCTCTTCTAACTACCAACCTTTCACCCTGTACAAATCAATAAGGTTTGAAGTTTTGAGTTATCGACTGATTCGTGTTCGTTGTGTGTTGAAAAGCTGGTCAGTTTGTCTCAGCTAACACCTTTACTTTACTCGATTCAGGTATTTTTATGATAAGTAGTATTCATTTCTAATGGGATAGTGCTGTTGGTGATGGGCCAGTTCCCGAGTTTACATGGCAGAAAGGAACGGAAGGTAAATACGACTTCTTCGTTTGTTGAGGTACTGTGTTGTTTGTGTTTTGTCAGTTATTAACTGCTGATCTTATTTTTGTAATGGTCTTGTTATCAGTGTGTATTGATTGCATCATGTGCTGTTCGACTATAATGAGGCTATTGAAGGGATTCCATCGGTCTGAGGTTAGAGGTGTTCGTAGCGGTTTCGGAGAATGGATGCAAAACGAATATATTCGCAAGTTTAATCTTTTCTGTTTATCACCTGCAACCCCGTTGGTCGTCAAGTCACATCAGTGGGCGCCAGTAAATCTTTCATTTTACCCTGTCGCTTGCAAGAGTTGCCCAGTGGGTTCTACAATGATACAGAAGGGTATTATGCTTTAGGCTTCATACCTTTCTTCTAGGCTTTCCTGTTCACACGTAAAATAATCGTTTTGTTGAAAATCAGTGCACAATGGGATATTTCTAAGCCGTATTCCTAATTACATCTTCGTAATCTTTTGTCGTTATCGCGTTCAGGACGCCAGCGTTTTTTTTTATGAGGGAAATGCCAGTCTCTCGAAAATATGGGTTGTTCTAGACATATTTGTGTTAGGTCGTTCAGTGTTAAATTTCAAGTCGATGTTCTTCCTTTTGTTGGCTTATCTGTCATTAATAGGTACTATACTTACGCGGATGCTTGGATGTCCCGTCTTCACTGGTTGTGCGTACACCATCATGACTTCCATTTTCGTGCAGTTTTGCTGGTCTATCCATTGTGGTTCCCTGGAGTACCTAGTTCAGCCTGGCCACAGTCTGCCCTAGGTCGTCACCGCCACTGGTAGTCGGCACCTTTGTGGATCAGGAGATTAGCCACCATGCGACGAGTTTCATACCAGGACGGTGGGGCCTGGCATTGATATACTCTTAGCTGGGCTTACTGACGGAAAACCGGACTCCTTCTACGCCTAGGAGGCCCTTCTGTGTGGATGAATTCCTCTGTTTTACATCACAGCCCGACACCCGAGAACACCTTCCAGCCACGATGAGGTGCAAATATCGGAAGAACTAGATACTATAAAAATGTTAAATCCACTTTGTTTTGTTATTCACTGGAAAATGATTGGAATTTTTCCATGTAGGAAGTTTCGGTTCAGGGCGACCTTGCTCCACCTGTCCTCCGCTCACGTCACGATCATTTCATGACTATGTGTTCTGAACTCACAAAACGAAAAGGAGTAATACCGGATGTTTTTCTAGTGTATGAAAAGCCCAGGTAACCAGCATTGGACGAGAATTCGTCTTGTATATTTTTCAGTATTATTGATTTCCTTTATTTCTTGATGTTCAGTACGCAGTATATTGACGAAGATGGTGACGTAGCGCATGAATTCTACACTGAAAAGGAGTCTTTAGATGGCCAACCGCGACGACTGCATAGACTTTTGAACAATTTACGTCCGAAGGTTTGTGTACCTTTCAAAATCACTTGGAGAAAGTAGTTGCAACATAACTCGTCAGTTTTTCTTCTCTCTCAGACGAGTTGACTCTGTTAGTGCTTAAAGTGTAGCGTTTTTCAAACCTGTATTAGTTGTTTTTTTTAAGAATGTTATAAGTTTAAAAATGCATTATGCGGATTTTCAACAGCATGTAGATAGGATGAGAGAAATCTGTGAAAATGGATTCCTATTAAGATTTTTTTATTGGGTATGTACATATGCCAGTTCTCGTTTTACACTTTACAAGCATAAAAGCATGGAGTTGCTTATCTGTGTTGGGCTACATAGACTTTTGTATACGCAAACGCTACAGTTAATCGTGCAATATTTTAATATTACATCTTTACCTGTGCATGGTACAAAACACCTTTAGCGTAGGTTGAAGCAGAATGACTCTTGGGTCATATTTCCTGATGTTTGTCAGGTTTAGTAGTTATATACTAGAAGCTTATAAACATAAGATCTAATGGCTGTGAAGCATCGCTGCTTTACATGACGGTGTGTATAAAGCTTTGATGAATTAATTCAGGGCAAGGAGCGATACCCAATCCCTCGATTGAGCTCAGATGTACCGATTGTGATGTGGGAGGTAGAACAGCAAGCATGCTGTCAAGGTTGAAATCTACCGAGCTCAACTAACTCACTGATCTCTCTAGCTCCAAAGGTTATGGATTTCCTACCGCCATTGCTTTAGTTAGTTACCAGTTTTGCTTCTGTTCTTCCATGTTTCTGTTTTACTCACGCTTGAAAATACGATATTAAATGAAGGTTGTTATTACCTGCGAGCATGTCTTATGGTGAAATCGTTGCTAAGATGTCACATGGACAACCAGACGTTGTAAAACAATAACAACTTCCATCGATAACGATAATAATTTGGTTAACGAGTCAAAGAGAACATTTTTAAAAAGTGGTGCGCTACATTCTACACCCTTATTGTCATCACATGGAGATTTCCCAATGGTTGTTCGATAACTTTTGGGTAGTTGTTTGTTTTATCAAAGCTGTGCGATTGTTAAGGTTTGAACTAAACCAGCTTAAATTTCGTTGGATTGTTCGGCTTATACGATGTTGTCATACATCTTTTATTCGCCTAACGTCTCCACGTTTTCTGCTTCATCAGAGCCGATAGTCGGAGTGGATGGTCAACGGTCGTTCGTCTTCTTGATGTAATGTCTTCATCTTCGTACCGAGTCGAAGCTTCTTCAGTAGAGCACCACTTAAATAAGGTAACCTCACCCGATGATGCGCTTTTATACAAGAGAACAAAGAAATTATTATATCCGAAGAAATTTATTGACTACTCACGCAGAGACCAAGTGGAAATCGGTTTGGTAAAGTATCTTTACGCTGTGTACTAGCTATTCTTTCACCGACTCCTGCAGGATGGGTGGTCCGTTGAAGAACAAACTATTATCAACGAGTAATTAGTATCATCAACAAAGATCCTGTATAAAGAAGCGTAGCCGGGTGAGGTAGTCTCTTTCGAGCGGTGCTGGTTCTGTGGACCATCAACTCGGATCAACGCGGCTCTGAGGATGGCGAAGACGTCGAAACAGCCGAATAAAAGTTGTATAATAACCTGGTGTAAACTCAGTCATAAAGAAATTTATTGATCATTCACGCCGAGGTTAAGTTAAAGTTGGTTCAGTAAAGTAAACGAGCCTATTGTTCATAACCAAGCGCCTCCACTAGAGGATCGTCCGCCTAATGCATAACACATTCGTCTCGATACAAACCATATTTGATATACAGACTCTCTGGTTGATTTTGAAACACAAAATTCCTATCGTCTTATTTCCGACGAATCGATAAATGCCAACTACAAATATTGCGCCTAACATCGTTCAATTAAAGCTACTCTCTACACTTAACAGTATGTTTGGAAAACTCTCCTGATAATTTTCTCTTTTCTGAATGGGCTTCTCCAGCGGTGAGAAACGTTTCTGATGGAGGTACCATCTCTGTTGTTCTTGTCAGTGATAACATGGTAAACCGCTGTGGCGACTTGTAATGAATGCAGTCGTACTGTAAATGCATATTCGCCGTCACTAAGGCTATTGACTGGTTGTGATGACATTACTTATTCACTTACTGACTTGTTTCTGCAAACTGCTTCTTTGGAAATACCACATATTCTCATCTAGTATTTCTATCACCTTCCGCTGATTTTGTAGTCGTTTTAATGAGAAACAGTTATATGTCAAGCTACAGTTTTTGCAGTTTCTTCGAATTTTCGACCTGCGCGCGAAACCTTTACAATGTACGCTTTCCACATGCGATTCTCATTCACTGGTATTGAGAACAGCTACATACAGAGTCATGAACGATGATGCGCCTGATGTTGATCAATTGCTGAGGGATGTGTGGTACATCGGCATCTATCAAGTATCGCAGAGGTGATTGAGTGGATATCCGTTCCGTACGACTTCCGGTTGCCTACGGAAGTATGGAGTCACTGTTGCTATCCTCTCAGACATATTTGGTACCATTTCTCCAATCCAGGAGGGATGGAAGAATTGGTGATCCCGGAATACGGGGTCGAACCAGCGATCGATCCAGTCCGTATTGCGGGCACCTCTAATTACTGCGCTATGAGTGCCTATACACAGTCAAAAAGCTCTCTAATCTAAAGCTCTCGATGATCACCTCTGAGCGACGCGCCATATATTCGACTTCATTAAGCATCGTTTGGATGTGAATGAATGCATATCTGGCATGTGCAGTGACTGGCGGTGGCTACCGATGTATCAAGCCAATGCTGCTACTCTCCGAGACAAGTCTAGTACTAATTTGCCGACCCTGGGGGATGGAGGTCTTGGTGGGCCTGGGCGCCGGGATCGCTCCCATGTGTACTGAAGGGCACCTTAGACCATTGCGCTACACACGCCCTTACACAGTCATATTATCTACAAGCTTTAAAATCCAGTTTTATGAACTGCCACGACCGACTTTCTATTAACCTCGGCATTGATCAAGTGATTTTCTTCGTATTTTTGTTGAGCAAACGCGAGGTGTTACTATTCTTTGTTCACGATTAAGCAGACGTTTCGGCGGATTTCGCCTTCTTCAGAGCCTGGAAAGGTCAAGTTGATAGCAACTCACTCGGCCAGACGCCTCCATAACCAAACAAAGAAACTCCACACCAAGATTTCAATCACTTTGAACACAGCTTTGCACACTCACCGCTTTCTATGAGGTTTCCACTAAGTATGTCACGTAGAGACCAACCGCACAGAAATCACGTGGAAGTATAATGTGCCCCTCACATCAAAAAAGCAGTTTTATATACTGCCCTATATCACGCGTGATAATGAGGCATTCTTCCCTGCGGTTCATTTTCGGATTTCTGGAATTAATCCAGAGTGCCTCGAGAGTTTTTCGCGACTGTGTTCTTGATTCGCGTGCGTCTATGAGTCTAGCGCCAGCTAGTTCGTAACCACCTATATGACCGTCTATGTTCAACTCAAAATTGCATAATTTGCCCCAGTGGTAGAGACGGTGATTGCATGAGCTCGGGTATAGTTTATCTGATCTCCTGTAAGACGTGTGGTGACAAATACATTGGCGAAACGGGTAGACCCCTCTGTGTCCGCATGAAAGAACACCTAGCCGGCAAAAATAGACCAAATACCCCGCTAGGCACGCATAGGACCTAGAGACATAACGGGGACGACTTCGAAGTATGTGTCACGATCCTCGCACGCGAATCAAGAACACAGGCGCGAAAAACTCTCGAGGCACTCTGGATTAATTCCAGAAATCCGAAAATGAACCGCAGGGAAGAATGCCTCATTATCACGCGTGATATAGGGCAGTATATAAAACTGCTTTTCTGATGTGAGAGGCACATTATCACTTCCACGTGATTTCTGTGCGGTTGGTCTCTACGTTATATACTTAGTGGAAACCTCATAGAAAGCGGTGAGTGTGCAAATCCGTGTTCAAAGTGATTGAAATCTTGGTGTGGAGTTTCTTTGTTTGGTTATGGAGGCGTCTGGCCGAGTCAGTTGCTATCAACTTGACCTTTCCAGGCTCTGAAGAAGGCGAAATCCGCCGAAACGTCAGCTTAATCGTGAACAAAGAATAGTAACACCTCGCGTTTGCTCAACAAAAATACGAAGAAAACCAGTTTTATGAGTATTATTGAGATAACTGAGGCAATAGGTGGAAATATTTGTCGCATTGGCTACACCTAGTATAGAATTACTTGACACATTTTCAAGCACATATGGAATCCTAATACCTTCGTATAAGTGCCAACATCTCCAATCCTTTCACTTCTCACCACATAGAAACACAAGTAATTAAAGGAAACCTGACGTAGACATAATTCACTCTACCTAATTTTTTGTACAATATCATAGTAGATACATCACGTATTCACTAAATATCGGAGTACCAACTGGAACGAAAGCCGCATGTATTTAAACTTTAATGGGCGAATGTTTGTAGTAGTTAGTTACTTTTTTTGGCTAAGGAGAATAGAACGCTCTTGGCTCACTTGTGTCCAATTTCCTGTAGCATTCTATAATTTTGGTCTTCATTTCTCTCGATTAGTCCCACCATACACCGTGCATCACTTGTCACCTGTTGTCCTGTTGATCGTCGAGTAACTCGAGCGGGCTCCAGTAAAACTCCCATTTTTCCCTGTCACGTGCGAGGGTAGCCCACTGGGTTCTACTCGTTCTAGGGACTTGTTGAGCATCACATCTTTCTTCTAGGCTCTTCGTGAAGAACTCTGACCGTCAGGTCGATGGTCTTCCTGCACCATGCATACCATAATAATACCAATTCTAAATCTTCATTTATTGCCTATTCTTTCTTCTTCATGGCTGGTTACTATGTGAAATACAACCACAAGATTGTTAAGAGGTAAACAAAACTCGCCATCTCTGTTGGACCTTGAACCCGCGAGCGACTACCCTTATCCCGGATGCTCACGTGATATATCCACCACAGCAACCACGGCCCTTTGATTTTCTCTCGGCCATCCTTGTGACTTTATTCCACATAATACCAGTTCTACCCATTCATTTCAGCACTATCACTTGGATTCTACTGGGGTTAGAACTATTCTCTTATATTCTGAATGTCCTGCTCGACAAACTCACTATTCCTTCCACTCCTGATGGTGTCCTGATCTGAATACTGCGCGGTTAACTAGTTTCAGTAATTCTTCAGCCATGGCACTCTAAATGTCCTTTCTTGAAGTTGAGGCCAACGAATGTTTCCATTTTTCATCAGCTGTTTGACCGCACAATTAGTTCTTGCCTTGTAGATGTCTGTCTTATCATAAAATGCCTAGGTTCGGGGAATAAAAGCAGAAACTGGAGTTCACCTACAGATTTACTGTTGCCGAAAACCCACTGTTTGTGCAACATATGGCTTCACCACCCACTCTTGATCTTATCATAGCTACCCTTCTAGAGTAGTAACTGTTGTAGGGAATAAGTGTACATAAATAATGTATAACAGTGCCGAGGTACATTCAACACGGCATCAAGGGCTGATAGCACACAATGGATAAATTTCTTTTCATCACATACAAGACCTGTGTATGTTCTACAAACATGGAAAGGTAAAAAGAAGAAGCTAAAGGTGCCTAGAATGAGAAGACCTATGGAAATGAGCGGAAAACCATAAATAAAGGATGGATCATAGGGCGTAAAACATATGAAAAAAGGGATGCCTAGTGTGTACCATATGAATTAAAACAAAAAATAAGCAGCTATAAATCGTCTTCTATTTGAATTTTCTCGAAATTATTTATCACCACCCTCGAGAACATTATACGAGCACACTCGAATTAAGCAACAATGGAGTGAAAAGCGATAGCCGGTAATTACACTATTTTCGGTACGCTGATGACATCGTCCTTATAACACCAAACATTAGCCAAGCGGAACGTGTGCTTACCGACTTTGATAAATCCTGTGGAAAAATCGGTCCTCGGCTAAATCTCACAAGAACGATGATCATGACGAACGGATTGATTACGCATGCCCCATTCATGCTCAACGGAATGAATGTCTCCTAATGCTTCAGTCACATCTATTTAGGTCGGAAAATCAACATGATGAACGACGCAGCTCCACAGTTGAGCAGGATAAAGCAAGCCACTTGGTGAGCTTTCAAGCGTATCGAGGATGTAGTGAAGAGAACAAAGAACACCCGACTCCGTGCCTGCCGTTAATGCGTGGGTTTGTTGGGATGTCAAACGTACTGCAGAAAGACCACCGACCCGAAGAGTTCTTCACGAAGAGCCTAGAAGAAAGATATGATGCTCGACGAGTCCCTAGAGCGAGCAGAATTTACTCGGCTACTGCTACACGCGACAGGGGGAAGTGGAAGAAATAATGGCGCCCGCTCAAGTCGACCGACGACCAACGGGACGACAGGTGATATCGAAACCATTTGCTGCGTAGTAGCTAAATCTGAGCTAGAGAATCGTGCGAACAACATCCGGAACATCATACTATGTAAAGACCATATGCAAAAAATTATGAAACGCGGAATGTGACACACCAAAAATATAAAATTGTCAATAGCAACTATGTCATTCTATGTAACCTTTATGCCATCCTACAGCAAAGATATCAGCGTAACCCTCCAGGCTATTGTTTCACACTGAGATAACTTTTGGAGAGCTAGGAATCTCAAAAAAAATTAGGCACTAGCACATGAGCATGGTAGATCTCGCTGCAAACAACAGTAATTGGATAATGGCGAAAATGGATACAAGTAGTCCAGCAAAGTCGACAGACTACAAGAGAGGCTAATGAACTACTAGTAGAGGAATTACAATAACGAGTATTTCCAAAGCGAGTTTGGAACTCATGAAGGTGATCAATTTGCTGTTGCTATGGTTGCTGTTTTCCTTTATAAAATGTTATCAATAATCCACTAAATCTGTTCCACAACGAAAGAAAACACTGTAACTAGAAATTAAACATACATAGAGGATACAGTGTGTAATAGAAGTCACTAGGAAGATGTCGTAATCAAAATTAAGAAACATAACCAGTTACTTTATTGTACTAACAAGACTAGTGGACATTCTGGGATGTAGGGTTAACCATAATATAGGAGTAGGACAATAACGGCAGTTTTTCAAAACCCTACAATAGGTGAAAACATATGAAGGAATCGAGGGTTGTAATGCTGAATAAAGTGGCACATACACTTAGTTATTCATGTGCTATTAACATATAACATTATAGTAGGTTAGGGGAACTTGACACCATCAATAAACACTGTCAAGAAGAAGACAAGAAACTGCTTTTATGTCCGTCTGCTGACGATTTCGTTATTTCGATCGGAGATAGTAAACTCATCTTACGCCCATCGACGCTTAGTGCTCGTAATGATCTGTGCTCTCGATCAAGAGGAGGAGGGATACTGTAGTGAGCCTGTAGACGAATTAACGAGAGTTCGTCGACCAACATACGATCAGCAACCTTAAAACGAGTGTCGCTAAACAAGTTGTTCGGAAAATCGCTTATGACTATTGCTCATCAACATCGCTGCAACTATGAACCGCTCAAATCGTAAGTTTTCATAAGATTTATATTACCGCTTCTAGCTCAAAAAAGTACGATATCGTCAACTACCTTCTTCAACATTACTGACCAGCACCGTACTCATTCTTATACTTACTTCGGTACTTGGATGGCCCGTCCTGACTGGTTGTGCGGGTCCCAGCATAATCTCTTTTTTTCGGCGTTTTGCTCCTTTGGCCGTTGTTGCTCCCTGGAGTCCCGAGGTTAGCCTGCGCAAAGTCTGCCCCAGGTCGTTACCACCACAGGCAGTCGCCGCCCTTGTGGATCAGAGGGAAATTTGCCATCATGCGACTAGTCTGATACCAGGACGGTGGTGGATTCTTGTATTGGTTTTCTCTTAGCTGGGTTTCCTGGTTCCTGGTGGAAAAGCCGCACTCTTTCTCGTGGGAGACCCTGCCGATGGATGAATCCCCTGCTGTACATCGCAGCCCGACACCCAAAAACACCTCGCAGTCAAGATGAGGCGGTAAAAACTTGGGAGGATACTCATTCCTATAGAATAAAAAATCCTACAAATACGGTTAGTTTCTTTCTTAAGAATTGGAAGTATGTCAATTCAATATGTCGATAGGATAGACATATGGATGTGAGTAAAGATTTGATTAAAAAAAACAATAATTCAATATTATTTCAAAGCATGACTATGACGTAAACGACAAGTATCATACCGTTTGAAGCATGTGGTAGAAAGCAGAAGTTTTTGTTGTTTTCGTAGGATTTTCGCTAAGATATCGAAGACCTTCAATGACATCTTCAACGAAAGTCTCAAGTATGCCCTCCTCGCACATCCTTAAAGTGACCGGCACTCGAGCTGCTTCAGGAGACAGAAGTGGATCGACGTGCCAACCCTACAACGAATTAGGCCGTGTTGTGAACAAATGATGAACAAACTTGGTAAACCTTTGTCGTCATGAAGTCAACGAGAACGTAGATATCGCCAATAGTAGTTTCAAATGCAACAACACATAAATCGGCAGCTCCTCTCAATGATATGCCTTCTATGTCGGAGAGAAGATCTGCTAGGCGGCGAGTTGCTTCAACTACACGTTGACAAGCCGTTATGTAACCATCACGACCCTTAAAAAGCGGTTACTTAATGAGAACGAACGACCAGTGATCCGCTGAAAGATAAGTAATGGGAGCGCGCTGGAGTATACCGAATTTTGTAAAAAATAAGGTAAACAACGATGACTACTTCAGCTTCCTCTTGAGATACCAGGAGACAGAATAATTTAATACAATAAGACATAGTGGAGAGAACTTATTCGCGCTAACGTAAAGGTTTCTAGCCGGAAATATCAACAGCTTGTCGTGTTCGGCATAACCGAATCAGTGAGACGACTGAAAAATAGAATGACACATTACTTCTACACCTTCTCTTTCTTCACCTCATCAGACGAAATCTATAATCCGATATTCTCAACAGATCCACGTTGCTATAGAAGATCGCAAGTTGAAGAATAGACGCTATGGGGGTGGGATAAAACAGTTTCATTCAATAGAAAAAGCAAACGAAGCAATTGGTATGTGATAAAACTCCATTAGATTAATTAAAACTGATCAACTAACCTTACCGAGCAACGTGGCCCATGCAGTAGCGACAGCACCCCCATCCCTTCCACCGGCTAAGGTTGGGGTTGCATATACGCCGCCGGCCCAGTCGTTGTTACAAAAACACTGGTGGTGCATCATTGTCTGATCACGGTACATAAGAACCGAACATGACCGAGGGCACTGACCGTACTGTAATGTTTACATTGTTTAAACAAATTGAAAACAGACATAGGCTTGAAACATACTCGGTGCAAATCAATGGATATGGAAGTGACTCCCGGCAACCGGAAGTCAAATGTGGGAACGGAGTAGTCACAGTATTCCATGAATGGAAGAAGGAATCCACCAAGCGTGCAATCAACGTGTAAAGGAACACCGAAACGCTGAGCAACCTTTAAAATATCATTTTTAAGAAGTTCTTCCCTGCGGACTTACAGACATCAATTTATCAAAGTGTGGACGAACAACATGTGTTGTATATCACCATGTCTATTTAGAATGAGTAACAGACCTCTGACAGTTTTTCAATTGGATCTACTGTACCAGTAATGTGGTTGGGAGCAGATGCAACAATCTGAAAATAACAGAAATTACGATGGCGTGAAACACATGCCGTGATCTCTAAAATTCTAAAGTGTTCACCACACAAGTGTGCGGACCAATGGCCCTCTTTACGGCTGACGCGTGCACCCGATCATCTTCTCTAACCGGAACTCTTCGGATCGTCATCCCAAACAACGCGGCTGCTTTATCCAGTGCGGGATGGGCCGTTGAAGGGGCAACTATTTCCGGATGGTACTTTCCTTGAGCGATAGCTCGATTTCGATATGCTAAATTTAAAAACAGACAATTTTAACTTATTATTTACTGCCTACTCCTTTTAATAGCAGGGTATATATTCCGAAATATAACTTCAATAATGCTGAGACGCAAAACTCCGGACCATAGGTGTGTGCGGTGGGGAACAAACGCGCTATTGTCCTTACCGGCTAGCAACGCGTTCACCACCACACAATGCGAGTCCTTCGTTTCGCCTGTCTCTCAGCTAGTTCTATCGATCTTTTGCCATCAGCAATCACCTGTTACTCTGATTGATCTGGAGAGCACAAATCGGCAACAAACCCAGTTAAGCTGAGGCCGTAGTTAAAATCACAATTTTAACTTATTATTTATTGCCTACTCTTTTTAATGGCAGGGTATATATTGCGAAATATAATTTCAATGATGCTGAGATATTTGCACACACCTACGGTCCGAAACTTTGCAAATATCTCAGCATCATTGAGGTTAAAAACAGACAGTTTTATTTTCTTCTGAGAAGTGTTTTCATTTCACTGATCTTTTGAATTGCTTCGAAAACCACTTTTTTTCCAATTACTAGTAACGAGGCCATTAAAAAGGGTTTTCTAACCAAGGCAAGCCAGTAGCATCACTTCCGTCCCTCCACTAGCTACAACTCCACAAGCTTCCTGGCCTCCATGAAAAATTGATAACGACATTCTCAAAATCTGCAAAATTTAAGTTGATGGAACAACGGTGCAAGGGCGGAGGATGATCATAAATCCACACACTTCTGCTTCCATTTTTCTAGCGCCAGGAAACGCATCTGAGCGATGTGGATCCGAATGAGAGAAAAGATCGTAAATCTGTGCATGAATGCAATTTAGCGCCTTAATTCAGCAGTGAGCTCAAGCAGTAAGAATGTTGCACCTTGGCACATAGCGCCATATCTTCGTTCCTTGTTAACGGATCGTAATGTTCCATATATCGCCGCTCGCCCATAGCAGCATATTGACGGGCCTCCGCAAGAATATCCTCTTTATTAATAGGATGTTCTGGCAGAAATTTGTAAAAGTCACGCTTCTATAAATGCTGGATCAATGCAGAACTTTCTGACACAACAATATAATACTTTAAAAAACCTGGTCACACTGATGGATTTCTTCCTCGATTTCACGTCTAGCCCTTTCAAGATCAGCCTTAACTCGGCGTTTAACCCACGGCAAAGATCGAACGATAGCATACACGGAGCCTCTAAAATATTCCAAAAGATCAAACACTGAACACTTACATATGGTTTTTACAATACAATATAACTAGATATTAGATTAAGAAAGAAGTGTCATAAACTACCCACAAACAGAGTGTGATTGAAGGAGTTTACGAATGATGCACAAATACAAAGGGAAAAACCCCAAGTCGCGAAGTAAGTCAACAAAAGACAAACCCCTTGCCGTGAAAAATTGTAATAGGTAGTAAATAAAAAGTTAGCATTATGATTTCAACTACAGCCGCAGCTTAACTGGGTTCAATGCCGATTTGGGCTTCCCAAATCAATCCCGTTGACGGGTGATCGCTGGTGGCAAAATATCGATAGAACTAGCTGAGAGATACGCAAAACGAAGGACCCGCATGGTGTGGTGATGAACGCGTTACTCCCCGGAAATGACAATAGCGCGTTCGTTCCCCACTGCAGACACCTGCGGTCCGGAGTTTTGAAAACATCTCAGCATCATTGTGGTTGCATTACACATAACACACTAGCATAAAAAATTGTAATAGGCAGTAAATTAAAAGTTAACAAACTTAAGCCTCTCAAAAAATGGCTTGTCGGAGCGATTCATGTGTCGAACCCACATTACCAAAAAACAAGCAGAAACAGTATAAGACATAATCTGAAATGAATCTTATTATTTCCACCTAATCCTTAACATAAATGAAATCGAAGCCTGGATTCCAACCTGCCACGATTCCAAATGTGAGCACTGCCTGTTAAGCAGTGCACGAGCCTCATCGACATGCTCGAAAACGACCCGCCACATAGAATTCGAGGACTGCATCTTTAGATCTAGCAGTAAGACTAGATGCATTTCATAACCGAATAATAACCGAAAACATGGATAGGTGAACAAAAAAAATGGATGAAGATCCCATGGTACAAAAATACCGACCATAAATCAAAAGAAAACTCGAAAATCATGATTTTACTCGAAGACAACTGAATAACAAAACGAGGATGATCACGCCTTTTTTCGCATTCGACGAAATATCGTTAAGTACTGATACATCGTGTCCAAGGCAGAGTATGGTTCTGGCGATGACTTATTGATAACGTCCGGCTTAGTTCCTGCCTGCAAAGAAAACGAAGAAAAAACAATATGAAGGTAGGGCTCTAAAACAATTGATGATGACACCGACATATTGAGGGAAAAACATCTGCATCATCTCGGTCATCATATGTGCGCTCTGAACGGCAACTTGTGATGGCTCATATTCCACCTAGACTGTTCTGACAGCATTAGGAAAAACCCTACAGTTCAAGAACTTCAGAATCACCATCCATTCAAAATCTACTTACCTCAACAATCACTCCTTTGGCAGTGGTAACTTGAGACGCTGTCCCTACTCGGACAACGAAATCTTTCAATCGATATTCCACACCAGCAACCTCAAACTATTTCTAAAAGAGTTAAACAAATGGAAACATTGCATAAAGAAAGAAACCTCGTATTTCCCAGGTGTATCAGGAGTGAGACCAGGTGAAAGTTTCGCTAAGATTAGATCAAAACCGAGATCGCAAACAGCCCGTGGACTTGTTCGTAAGCAATCCGTCGGAGCTTAAACAGCGCATTCTAAAGTTGGAAACACCATCGACCATGTAAGATAATATCAGCTAACAAGCAGTTCACCTATTGAAAAAGTGCTCTGCGGAAAATTGCTATGGTGTAGAACATAATTGTGCTGAATACAACTTTGAAGCTAAAAGTACTAAAATAGATCATGTTGCAAACTGAGATGCATAAAAGTGCAGAAAAATGAGTAAAAGGGCAAAGATCATAGAGCGAACTTACCTTATCATTTGGGATGTAAGGCAAGCAGTCGACAGTGAATGTCCCAATTTGTTCCGCACCACCACCTTCCAGTAGACGTTCAACCTCCTTAGCTGACTTCTCGTGTTCAAACACCCAAGAAACACCCATCTCTAAGACATTAAGGATTCTTCGATATTAGTTTTTAACAAAGGATTATGAGGAAAAATCGATGGCTACAGTTTATGCATGTAAGATATAAGGCGATAAGAACAAAGATTTTATTTTTTCCTACTTACTAATTAATATATTAGTTAAATATTTCCCTTCTGAAAAGAACAAAATCGACATCTTTTACACATAACAACGGAGAGAAACAACAATAACATTGTTGAATTACTACTAACAAGGCAGGGTAATAGGTAAAAAACAGCTGCCCTTTGGAAGAGTGGTACAGAAAGTGCGCAGGATCGTCCTTTAAAGTACCCCCGGGCAAGACATAACAAATAAGTAGACCGAAGAATATGGCATATGACATAAAGAAACAACGTACCATTCTTTCTAGGCTATTTAATCATAATACCCATGCCTATACAATCCAATAACAGCACGTGAAGAAGACAACAAAGGCTCCTGAACAAAAGTGTTGCCCACCAAAATGAGTGATGGGTGGGTGAACTGATGTACAGAATAGGAGAGAAGGCGTCACAAGGACTTCTGCTGAGATTCACGGAACTTCGCCAGCTGATGCTTCATCACAGGAACAAGTTCATGCGGAATGGCAGTCACACGCAAGCACTTCGGTGGTTGTACGGAGCACTCGAACAGAAAAAGACACGAGTCTCCCTCCTCGGCGATAACGTCGTTCGGGAGCGATGACAAGCAGTACACTCCTGTAACAGAAGCTCAGATATCCATATCACTCTGAAACACTTCATAATAAGGCTGAGATATTTGCGAAACACCGGACCGCAGTTGTTTGCGGTGGGAATCGAACACTCTTCTACTCTTTCCAGAGGCTAAAGCGTTCACCACTACACGACCTTCGTTTCGCCTGTTTCTCAGCTAACCCTCTACCTGCCAATGCCATAAGCATTCAGTTATATTAGCAGCAAATAAAAGTTAACACTTCATGGTCTTATGCTGAGAAAATCCAAACACATTCATGACCACATGAACGACTAGTGAATAGTACAAAACTGAAAGCTAAAACTATCCTTCTCTTCTAACACATTTATTGCTATGGTGGCCTTCTGATAACTTTTAATAACACTCAGATAACCTGAGAAGCACTTGAGGAGTTGCGGAATTGATAGACCTACAGACCAAACTGCGCTGTAAATGTAAGACTATGCATACTATTTTTAAAACAATAGAGATTTTCTTAAATTGGAACTTTGAAAATACAGTCTTGCGAATCTGTGTAAATTCAATTTGTCCAAAGTAACACATTTGCTCGATATTTTTCGGAGTAAAACTTAAAACATCAACGTAATAAAAAGACCTTTCAAATGTTAAAAAATGTTAAATAAAAAGACCAAATGTTCAATGTTCAACGTTTCAAAATTCAAATGTTTCAAATGTGGCATACGCGCCAGGCACCGAGGGCAATGAAACAATGAGAACGCAATCGCGACCCAGCAAGCGATATCTCACCTCTTCAATCACTTCGCTGCACGAGATATGAGCCAATGAAAAAGTGTAGAAAAAAAGTTTATGGGCATCAAAGAACCATAGTCTTATTGTGCTGGAATAGATATTCACTCTATTGAGATCTTAATGATTTTCATTTCAGCTAACAAAGCCCGTTATAATTTGATGAACAGTTTGCGATTTGGTGTATGGTTCGGTTTTTCCACCATAGTTCCAATGTTTCTGTGGCTTTTTATGTTCTACGTTAGACTTTTGCGACTATACACACCTTTTTTTGATTACTGCATAGTATTATGCGCGGTGCGCATTGAACTCAACGCACACGGCCGATTGCTCGTTCAAAAAATGAATGACCACGTCACTTTTCTCGTGTTTTTCTTGCCGTACGGATCTGTCCCTTCAACATAGTTCCTCCATTTCTGTTGCTTTTTATGTTTTACGAATTCTGTATGTTGATTTGAGAACCAAAGCCAATACCAGAATCCACCACTCTCTTCGTATTAAATTAGTCGCATGGTGGCAAATCTCCTTCTGATCCACAAGGGCTGCGACTGCCTGTGGTGGTAACGACCTGGGGGAGACTTTGGCCAGACTGACATTAGGATTCCAGGGAACCGCAATGTCTTAACCAGCAAATCTCCGAAAAAGTGGAAATTCTGTTGGGGCCCGCACAACCAGTGAGGACGAGCCATTCAAGTATCGAGTATATGACTTGAGAGTTACTGTATTGTACTATCATATAACTCCCAAGCATCGCACTATATCCATATCCGCTTATATTAATTAGGCTGGTTGTTCAAGCGAAGCTTACTACGGACCCAGCCAATTTTGAAAGATGATTCCTTTTGCTAACTACTGACTGCTTTTGCAATGACTACGATAAATCATGGTCATAGTAAGAAAAGAACCGACATATAGAAACATTAATACCCATACAGTGATATAACAATGTCTCTTCTATAATTCTCTTAAGATCTCAATTCCTGAAGTACGCTAATTATCGGGGAATTGTGGAGAGTTCTCGAAGAACTGGCATCGTTATAACTTTTGAGTATTGTATGGTCAAGGATATCAAAGCCACAAGGTGGAAATAGTAATATGGTCCACTTCTTATTTAGTGCCTTTTACAAGTTTTCATGGCAGGGTATTATTTGTGAAACAATCACAATCATCCTGAGATGTTCGCAAAACTCCGGACTGCAAGTGTCTGCGGTGGGGAACGAACGCGCTATTATCGTTTCCGGAGAGTAACGCGTTCACCACCACACCATGTGGGTCCTTTGTTTCGCCTGTAACCTGAAAAGTGTAATAGCGCGTTCGCTCCCCACCGCAGACACCTGCGGTCCAGAGTTTTCCAAGTATCTCAGCATAATTGTAACATTCTTTGTACAACTTACATAACTTCACTAAATGCTGACATCACAATGATTGCATAGTGGATGGGTTTTTTTCTTCACATACAAAATTTGTTTGTGCAGTGGAGCCATGGGATGGTCTATGGAGAAGGTGAAGCATGCACAGGACAAGAAACGCACAGATACTTTTTCAAAACTCAGAGAAAAACCGTTTTTAGGGCAGAAAACACAATAAAAGGAACGAGACTGCATAAAAACCGTCGGATTCACCGCTGTGACATCTATAGGCGCCACAGTAAGCACAGCAAAAAACATAATCGAGTGCTAAGCATATTTCAGTATTTTCTTATATTTCATAAAAAAAATAACCCATATTTGAGCTACACTGTGTGAAGGATCTCTGATGAACCTCTTTGCCGGCCATGTGTGTCTACATCGAAATATCTGAGTAATCTCCTCACCAACAAATGTTTTTGGTGGGAAGAAACAAACACACACGAGATATTGCTTCATATAGTGTCATGTAGTACTGAAATAATGCCCCGTTTTGAAATTTCAAACCAATATATTATTCTTCATCCTGAACACTATTAACATATAACATCCAACACAACTCTGCATAGTTGTAACATAGGACGATGCTTAATACCACGCCGGCTACGAACTTGTAGGGTGAGTGTAGCGCAGTGGTCGAAGGTGTCCTGCAATACAAACGGGATCGATTCCCGCGCCCAAGGATCACCAAGCATTCCATTCCTCCGGGATCGTGAAAGTGGTACCAGGCGTGTCTGGGAGGATAACAGTACTGGCTCAACACATCGGTAGGCCACTGCGAGTCATTTTAAAGGCCAGATATGCATTCAATCACTTGCAACGATGCTTCGTGAAGTCGAATGCGTGGAGCATCCCTTGATCAACGCTGAGAGAGCTTTACCCTTTATTCTTTACGGACTTGAATAACTCGCCTGCCATCCAAATTAATTTTTTTTTTGATGTTTTGATCAGCTGTCGTTACATCTACAGTTTGTATGATGTCAGCACTTCTTGCATTCGATTCGTATTCCTCGCACTCATTGTCCACAGTGGTCTTCGAACATTACGCGTATCGTTTCGATAGTTTCGACTGCTGCTTGAGGGTCTCATCTTCTTTGTGAATGTCGTAGAATATTGATCGAGTCGATTCTCTTTGCAGTGTTGGAGATAGCCGAGCCAGGGCGTTCCTACGTGGAGCAGAACGTTGGTGGAGTGGTCCGAACTAGCGCCTTTGCTAACTGATCGATGACATAACTCACCACTGCGCTACCTCTTCCCATGGCATTCAAATGCAGCACATTATTGTTGCTGGTCTTTCCTAAGACTAACCTTTTCTGTAACTAGAGAACTTGAGCATCTGAGAAAGAACACGACGGTGGTGTTTAAGCGACTTTACTTCATTGCTCCAGGTCTATTCATATTATATTTACTACATATTATTACGCCTCAGCATAGAATAACATTGCTTTCAGAAAATGGAACTGTTTTGCAGTTGAGCTTACTGCCGTATCTTTATAACAGCCCATTCTAAGCAACAGCCACGATTTATCATAATGGTTATAAGTGAAATAACAGTCAGTTACCAGCCATTAAATCAGCTTCACTTAGTTGCCCCCATAATCATCATTGGTGGTTTCATATACTTCATCTATAGTTTTCCGATAGCTATAAGTTGAGATGTTGTGGACTTAAAAGACTCGAAGAAGAAACTTTGACCAATCGCTCTAAGGGTGAACATTTTATAACGCGGAACAAAAGTGAACACTGATCCACTTCTTAGCGAATATGACAATGAATAGAAGGCGATATGAAGGACAATGTGGGAAACCGTGTGCTTTCCGTCGAGGAATTTGAACTGCTATCGGAGAAAGAGGATGTAGGTGTTGACGGAGAAATCAGCTGTGCTACAATAATGTACTGCTTGGGAACCACTTAGTATTCGATGGCAATCAATATGATGTGGATCGGAAATTTTTCGCTTCGGTGCACAGCGCCGATAGATTTCCATGAACTATTTACGATGAGTACTTGAGAAACTGTTTTAGTCGATACAACAACTGTTTGGAATCATCCACTGTATTTAAGTATTACCCAATAGCCTTCGACTGAGGTCCTCTAATACAATGTGTTCCACAAGCAGTCAACTGGGTACAAAAACTGAGTCAAAGAATCTCCGTGTAGTGAAATGAACTACAGAAAAAGAAACGCAGTGGTGAGTTGTATTTCATCCACTTTGCACCTAACTCATGCATCACCCATTAAGGGCGTTATATGTCCAATGGAATGAGAATCATCAAAGCTTCCTATAACAGAGCAGCTCCTTTGTTCTACAACGGTGAAATTCTGATTTTCCAGTGGCCACAAAACGCCTTTCTTTTCACAGTTCCTAATATCAACTTTCTATTAAACGTCCTTCTTTTCGCTTTTTTGTGTCAGTCCCGTACTTTAAACACGAAACCAATTCAACAAACAGAAATTTCTATAGCGGAGGTGGTGATGCTTCCCAACTTACTGCTGATTTCGCGTCTGCCGTATGCCCGTGAGGAAGTTAAGTAATTCATATTGAGTCCTCAATTTTTTAGAGTTTCAATTTGAGACAAACTGAATACTGAAAGAAAACACCGTAAGAATCACGTAAACACACGACAGAATGAATTCTCCCCCATAGATACATAAAGTTCCTTACCCCTCCGCTACTCCATTCGTAAAGAACTTAGTCTCTTGTCAGAAAATAAGCCTCTTCGTCAATATATTAATGCTCTGCTAGCTACCTACAGTTTTGCCGCTTGATGAACAAACTAGTCAGAAATGACATTCCTCTCACTTTCTTGTTCTTTTTTCCCTCTATTTCAATTTTTTTCATGTTTTACCTTCCTTCCTATCATGTATTTGATGGGAAATATATCGAAAATATCGATTGAATATAAAAAAGTGTAGCAAAAAACTCTGCGCCGCGAAATAAACAGCTGAAAGGAAAACCGAATCAACGAATGCGGTCCATTCTCCCTTCCAATATCTCAGCTCACGATGAACTTCACTAAGTGAAAGAAAGACGACGCATCATCAATAGGGATGGTTGTCACCCTTGCCTTGAAAACTTTAAAATTCTTCGTATTAATATTTCATAGTTCAAATCCAAAACTTCAAACTTAAATCACATTTTGGAGAGAACAATATAGCCGTTTTGAGTAATCAAGGTCAATAATGTGCTAAAGAGTTGATCTAACCTGTGTTATCCTTAATGGTAGGTGGATTCGTAGATATTAGCACCGCGCAAACCACAGTTTGTCCAGCTGCACGGTCACGTAACGATGAACAATCGTCTTTAGCTAACCCCATAGGTAGAAACTGACAAGGAATAAGAAATAATAAGCCGGAGTGAAGGGAATTCAAAAGGTGATGTCAAGAAATAGAGGTATATGATAGCGAAAACATAAACATGTCTGCCATTACAGTGAACTGAAAATATTTTATGAGCAACATAGACTTTAAACGAAAGACGAATTATTTGACAGAAAAGTATTTACATGTATGCAAATCAATTCTACCCACAGCAATGCAGCAAACTATGACAGAAAATGACGGAGCGTAGGTTTCCCATATAAGGTGTGTTCAAGCATGGGTAGGATGTAGCGCATGCCAAGTTCAGGAACGGAAACAGCGGTCTGGCAGTATGAGTCAGCCAGTGGGACGTGATCACTTCCAATTCGAAAACCTTGCGCTGTCCACTTAACTGCTCTCCATTCTTTTTCTCCACCACGCTTAGCAGCGGTATACAAGACTGTGTCACCTAAAAAAAGTGGGTTTCTACACACTCAAAATCATTGACAGTGTATGCACTCAACTATGTAGATGTTAACTGGCTGCTAATAGCTCACTACTTAAAATAAATAATAAATACTCACCAACGTTGAGGATGTCGGTGAGCCACTCAGCACTAGAACCTCCATCTCCACCAATCCATGACAAAAGAGAACATCTATGAAGCAATATGAATTGTTAGATGAGAATGTCAATGAGCTAATGATATTACCTCTTTTAGCTATTATGAAGACGAAAGTAATTAACAGAGTGATTCTTTGTTTACCTAAGCTATTAGCCACAAAGGTGCAAGTTTTTTTCTTAGGAAGTTTTGCTTACCAAAAACAAAGAAGAAAAGTATATGAGAAGTAAAATCTAATAAGCAAACGGACCTGATTTCACCATGAGTAAGTGAGCAAACAATGGCATGTGACTTTGTCAGGAATACGATCTCGCCACAACCTAAATAATGTCTCGAATGAAATATTACTTTCTTAGTGACAATCGCTGTCAAACATTATTCATTAACGATGTCCATAAAGCATATCGTTTTAATCGAGAACTAACATATCTATTAAGCGGTCCTACTCAGAAACCATTATCCATTTCATGATCATACTGTGAACGACGAAGAAATGTGACTTCCGTACGATAAAGACAACGCTCAGCACAGTTGTTAGCCCAAAATGGGTTCGCTATACATACCCAGGGACGCGTGTGGCGCAGTGGTCGGAAGCGCCTTAAGGGGATTGGAACGCCGATAACTTTATCCTTTTTATGTAGCTTCATTAAACAAGTGGACTCAAACCCAAATTCGCATCAAGACAAGATGTTTGTTTCGGGGCATACTTTTGTTTATCCAGTTACACCTGGATTAGTTCGCAATTTTTTGAACCATGAAGAAACGATTACAGCAGAAAGTCACGTCACCAAATGGACGAAATTCGTCAAAAGACGCTGCGTGTGTATCGAGCACTTTTCTAAGAGGAGCGATTAAATCCTCTTGCACGATAACGCCATAGATGTTCGAAGAATTGGGCTGCGAAAGTCTGCTCTATGCAGAATAGTCACCGAATATCTGCAATCGATCACACCCTTTTTCAAGCTTCTCGACATTCATTTGCTGGAACAATATTCTACAACCAGACCGCTGCTGAGAGTTTTTTTGAGGAACTCGTTGCTTCAGGAACTTCAGAATTGTATGACACTGGTATAGATCCTACTAGTTCCATATACCCGAACCAAGTTTTAACGTTCAAAAGTAGCCATTGAAAATTATCACTAATTTGTGATTCGACTTAATACACCTGGTGTAAATGGAAAGGATTCCTGACTGCTAACGAAATTGTGGTATTTAATAGTCCTGAATTTTATTCATTAAAAATACCATATTTAGTAAGTATTTTATCACATGCTTTTCCTCTGTGGCCCTAAAAAGGGCCGTTGGGTTAGTTTTATGCACCAAAGTCAAGTAGCTCACTTGCTCGCGGTGTATTCGGTGACGGCCTTTGTGCCCTCGGATACGGCATGCTTAGCGAGCTCCCTGGCAAGATCAGTCGCTTAGCGGTCTGGATTTCGCGGGAGGAGATCGTCGAACGCTTGTTTTAGTTAGCAAAACGTGAAACCTCGGCAGCAATACGTTCGAATACGTCGTTCAACAACGAGTTCATGATCGACATCGCCTTCCACGAAACTCCTGTATCGGGATGGAACTGCTTGAATACACGGTAGATGTAGACAGAATAGCTCTCCTTCACACGGTGCTTCTTCTTCTTGTCTTCGGCACAGCTCACCTTTTGGGTCTTGACGGCTTTCTTCGCTTCTTTCGCTGATGACTTTGGTGGCATAACGAGTAAAGTCGCCGACGGATAGTCAGCGGATCACGTGCTCCTCCCAACGGTTTACCACCTCATCGTAGCTGGGAGGTGTTCCTGAGTGTCGCACTGCAATGCACAGCGGGGGGATTCGTCCCCACGGTATGGCCTCCTAAGCTGAGGAGTCCGGTGATTCCATTAGGAAACCTAGCTAAGAGTAAACCAATACTAGGATCCACCACCATCGTGGTATCAAAGTCGCATGATTGCACATCCCTCTCTGATTCACAAAAGCGGTGAGTGCCTGTGGTGGTGACGACCTGCGGCAAAATTTGACCAAGTTGACCCCGGGATTCCAGGGAACCACAGTGGCTTAGTCAGCAAATCTCAGAAAAATGATGATTATGCTGGGATTAGCACAACCAGTGAGGATGGACCGTTCATGTATTAAGTTCAAGTAAATTTATCACGTCCTTCAAAGGAAAGTAATATAGGCACTCAAAGCTCCATTATTCGATAAACCGAAATAGGTTGGTACGAAACAGAACGGAATTGAGTAAGCTACAATTTCTTTTCCAGAAGTTTCCTTTCAATTACACTTTAATCTTCTCTAATTTTGGCCATCAACATGGTCAATACTTGGGATTTTCTTGTATTCACCACTCGCCAAGTAACTATGACCACTGTTTTCCATGATGTGTAAACCAAATTACTATTCCAATTCTGTTTGCGCATATCGTCCTAACAAATTTTTCTTCCCACCTTTATAATGATAGTTTCATCGTGGAAAGCAAAATTTTCAGAAGAAAGATAGGAAATGTTCCTGCATCAAAATGTAGACCCTGGGTTTGTTAACTGACACAGTCATAAGAGAGATGAAATCATAATTAATTAGAGACTGTACAAAAAACCGGATTTCCTTAAAACTTAGTATAAATTCTATCAAGATTACTACTCTGAAAAAAAAAAACGACAAAAAGAAAGAGAGTGCCAACATAAATTCCGATTTGTGCACGCACAACCGAAAGAATCGGAGTCTGAGAAAGGAGATGATTAAAGTAGTATTTAAGGTCGAAGGATTTAAGAACAGTAGACAAACTTACAGAATCGAAAGACCGACTTTCTATAAACCTCGACATAGATAGTTGATACATTTATTTATATGATCTTCTCTAACTGATGCGAGGTTGGTACAGGTCTTCGTTGTTGTTGATGTTGTTGGTCGATTTTTTAATGTGTGTACAGGAGAAGAGGAAAGGAAAGAATGGCAAAACCTGGCTTAAAAAATAGCCATTTCCAATGGCTACGAAGTAGAAGCCATTGGGATTAGACAAAAACGTAGATTAGTTCCCCAAAACAATGTTTCGGGTGTAAGTAAGACGCTACGCTACCCTTCATATCAAATGAAGTAAGTTGCGCCATTAAGTGATGGTTAAGAAAGGGTGGTCTTGAAAATTATGTAACGATTATTGACATCCCACTCAATACCTTACGCCGTCAGTTAAATCGCAACCGTCTCTATGATCGTTTGCGCAGCTCAGAAAACTGTATGATCTGTCCTCACGGGAGAGACGGGATTGTATGAGTTCGGGTATAATATACTTGATCTCATGTAACGCATTCGGTGAGGAATATATTGGGGAAACGGGTAGACCGCTTTGTGTCCGCATAAAAGAACATCTAGATGGGAAAGCTAAAATCCGTCGAAACACTCCTCTAGGTACTCATAGGGCACAGAAGCACATCGGCGATGATTTTAAAGTGACTGTGTGGATCTTTGCGCAGGAATCGAAAACATCAACGCGCAAAACTCTTGAGGCGTTTTGAATAAATTTCAAAAATCGAAAGATGAACCGGAAAGACGAATGAGTCGCTCGCAAAAACCTCTTCTCTACACTTAATAACTTCCAAAAAAACTTCAAAAAAGATTACTTTGCAGTGAGAGACAATTGCTATTGAAGACAGTAGACGACATGGCCAGTGAAGATGTGCAAAAATGCTTCTAATTGAATACTGGCGTTCAAGACTTAGAAGCTCTTCGCTGTGGTACCATGATAATAAAATGAGACCAAGGAGGGTTTCTTCAAAGTCTGTTGGTGTTCACAGGCTATACGTTTGTAATGGGATTCAATAGGGTTTGTACTTTGTACTCCACTTCCGCCAAGGTAAGTGCAGCTATAAAACGTTGCTTAAGTAGCGCCGGCCTAGAGAATTTGGGTGATTGAAACAGCATCGAGCATTCTAAAGTGCCACCTAGTATGACCATTTATGTGCAACGCAAAACTGCATAAAATGCCCCCACGGCAGAGATATTGAGTGCATGAGTTCAAGTACTGCGTTCCTTATCACTTGTAAAGCGTGCGGGGACGAATAGATTGGCGAAACGGGTGAACCACTTTCGTCCGTAGTAAGGAAAACCTAGCCGGAACAGCCCTTACCATTGCCGACGGCTTTTTCCCACACCAAGTTCAAAAATTTCACCTTCTGCCCTGTTCCAATGCACACAGTGCTGGTTATTCGACACATGTTCTCGCAAGCGCGCGTTTGTACGTGAACGGTGACAGGAGGGGTAATGAACCACTATGTTCTTATAACCAGACTTTCAGCACCATTTTACATTGTAAACGCTTTCGCCTGGGCCATGTAAGACTCCGTGCGGCTGTTCTCCCTCGAGTAACCGGAAAATTGAAAAAGAACACAAAGTGGAATCTTAACTCTTTTATTTACTGCCTTTTTCCTCTTAATGGCAGGTTATGTTTCGAATTATAACTCGTATGAAATGCTGAGATATTTGCAAAACTCCGGACCACAGGTGTATGCAGTGGAGAACGAACACGCGCTGTTGTCCTTACCGGGGAGCAGCGCACTTCACTACCACACCATCCGTGTCCTTCATTTTGCCTGTCTGTCAGCTAGTTCTATTGATCTTTTGCCATCAGCAGTAACCCGTCAACGGGGTTGGTCCGGGGAGCCCAAATCGGTATTGAACCCAGTTAAGCTGAGGCTTAGTTATAATCACAATCTTAACCCTATCTGAGAGACAGGCAAAATAAAGGACCCGGATGGTGTAGTGGTGAAGTGCGCTGCTCCCCGGTAAGGACAACAGCGCGTGTTCGTTCTCCACTGCATACACCTGTGGTCCGGAGTTTTGCAAATATCTCAGCATTTCATACAAAATGGAATGTTTATGCGAAGCCCCTTACTATGCGAATAAAAAAAATAATGTGCCAAATGTTTTCTGTTGAGGTTATGAAGATAGTTGACTGAGTAGATCGTGTGTCAATTTAACCTTTTCAGGCTCTGAAAAAGGCGAAACCACCGAAACGTCAGCCAGTATTAAAGGACAAAGGGTAAAGTTCTTGGCGTTGATCAATCCCTAAGGGATGCACCATGCATTCGACTTCATTAACCATCGTTAGAGGTGATTGAATGCATATATGGCCTTTACAATGACTCGAGGTGGCCTACCGATGTATCGAGCCAGTGCTGCTATCATCCCAGACAAGTTTAGTACCCATTTGCCGATCGCGGAGGGATGGAAGGCTCGGGGACCATGGGCGTGGGGATCGATTCCACGTGGCTGTATTGTAGGGCGTCTCCGAAAGTTGCGCCACAAGCGACCTTCAACCAGTATTATACTAAATAAATCTTCTTCTTGGCAACCTCGTGAATGCTCATCAAAAAACAGTGAATTATTTGATCAACGTTGAGATTAAATGAATGTCGGTACTGAGCTCTGCTTCGTGTATATATTCTACATCATCCAACTTAACAAATAACTACTAATGACGACAACAACAACAACAATATCTTGCAATTCTTGTCTACACTCAGAATCGAAAGCCATCCAGAAATCATTCCTAAGTACCCGGAAGCAGTTACATTCTCGACTTAAAACTTATAGTTTTTGGCTACAATAAGTAATCTTCATATAGAAGATCGCGTCGATTACGTTCAGATTGTACTACATCAATACGAACATTCTGAACAGTTACGTTCCCTATAACGGCTGCATCTAGTGCTAACCGTTCTAGCACCTACAGCAGCGCATTTCCGATCGCACTATTCTGTAAAGGCCTTGTAACATCAACACATCGTATCCAATTTTTCTTCGAACCCGCTCTCTTCAATGAAAGGAGCAGTGGACTGTGTCGAATCAGGCGTCCATCTTGAAGCCATTTAGGTAAAAGTTTTCCGCATGCACTCATCGTATATTCTCTGTGCGTTACCAGGCGTATCTGAGTGGTTATGTGGAAGAAAGGCTATACGTATCCCAAAGTATAAAAAATGTATCTAAACCATGAAAAGACAGAAATACATGTACCACTTGACAGCAAATTGAAAATGTATCACCATCTGGTTAACAGTGTTCACGATAGTCTCCTTCTAGTTGTAGCTTTCAATCAGTTCTGATTTCGATGAGTTGGAATAAACAGACGAGTCGTAAAATCTCGATAGCATAACAATGTCCTTTTTACCTTTCCATTTCAACACCGTTCCGATTCTGTTACTCCACCAGCTGTCTACTATCAGCTTCTTATGAATTGTTCAGGAAGTTCATTTTCCTATTTTCTCTACAGCGGCCAATAAGGTGGGTCTCTCTATGCAATAAACATTGCTAAAAGAAGGGTCGTGCAAAAAGGTCTTAGGTAGGTGGAAGGCGACTCTACTTAACGGCACGGTGGATTCCTCAATACATGCGTACTTTCCAGGCCTGTATATTCCGTTGCAGTTCCTATTGATAAGGTCGATTAGTGGTCTAATCTTGTACAACCTGCCTTATCGGCCACATATTGCGTCAATAGGATGACACGCAAAAGCAGAATTCGCACTCCAATAATCTCTCAAATGTTTTACTTGAACAGTGCCTTGTTAAGGCAAAAACCGATAGATAATCTCATCTCGTCAACACTTGCGTTTTGCCATGACACATCCTTTCATAGAGCAAATCTTTTCGTCTCGTTCATAACCAACTCACAAATATCACTCGTAGACAATGCGTAAAAATCTCTCGCTTTAGCCCACGAATCCTCCACAACTCCAGTTTCTTCATCGTCACTCTCGATGAGAAGTCAGTCGATCGAGGCCTAAGTTCAAAGCGTCGTCATCTGACATGGATCAAACCCATATAATTAGATTTTTAACAAAGAAAACTAATCTAAAACGAGAAACACGAAAATCTGTCATAAGCAGGAAAGTCGAAACGATAGAGAGAGAGAGGTGAGTAAGAAAGAACGAAAGGAAAAGTGATGAAGGCAATGTACCATAACGACAACTTCACAAAGGACAACCTTACATAGCTCGAACCTCTAGTATATTTCTCAAGAATGACAAAAGAATGACTCCGATTTATCCGGTAAAAATTACAGAAAACTCCACTGATTCAATGACGTGGCCAACGTTTAGACCTAGTAATCAGTCCCTCTATCCAATTCATACATACTTGAAGGCAGTTTTCCGTTCCAACAAGCATATTTCAGCTCATAGCGAACATTATAGATTCAAATGAAAACTACCGAATCTACAAATTTCCGCTAAGAAAATGCAAATTCTCTGCTTTGACCATCATAAAAATGGATTTCCCATGAAAGTTTTGATCCTAAATAAGCTTAAAACGAAAACTATACCTTAGCAAAGTTCAATTTTTCATGGTGATACAGAAGAATCTCTCTTACAAGTCTGTCGAGTCATGAAGTCCTTAAGTTTTCTTTAGAGAAAAATATCCGGAATTACCAGAAAACCAGCAACATACAAAGAACATATGTATGTAGAACATACAAAGCTTAATTTTTTGATCAATAATTAAATGTATCTCATTTCCAATTGGCACGATCGATCATGGACCGTATGGAATAGTCGGTTACAGGAAATACCGAAGTAAATCAAACATAAATTGTAACATCCTTAGGATTCTAATTGTAATATGTACGGTAGATAAAATGTAGTACAATATAGCAAACAGTAGTACGCAGTAACAACGTTCTATCCCTGGAAGGATGAAGCAAATCCTCTTATGTAATTTCCTGAAGCTCTCAACCTTTATCCTAATTGTCGAAAAATTGTTGTTTAGCGTTTGGCGCTTCTAAATCGCAAACGAGTTCATGTTTTTTGGTCTTCGTGAAATCAACGGCCGTCGTGTACATGTTAATGAGGATCATCACTATGTAATGATTAGAGGGATACTAATTAGACGGGATCTAAACATGGAGTGTTAAAATCACAGCTTCAATCATGTTCGGCGATAACGACACAGTTGCTAGCAATGGCAACTAGTGATCGCTGATATTCCTCTTTCAATGCTAATTCAAAGCACGATGACACGGACTTAATAATCGGGTCATAAAAATGAGTAAACCGAATGGGAAAAACATTTGATGGGAAAAAGAATCAAATTCCAGTTCTAATCCACTTGAACCAAATGATCACGAAGATGCCACCTCATCAAGGGACGCTAATACAAATTATAAAAGCTGCCGAAATAAGATCAAAATCAAGAGGAAAACGCTGTAAGAACCAAAAGATAACAATGTCTATAAGGAAATCAGGAGAACTGTGAATAGTGTGAAGAAGCCAGGGATAGACAACATTTACAGAAAAAGTACCCTACAGACAGAAGAAAAAGAACTTGGGCCTTTCAATGTATGCAACAAATTCAATTCTCAGTGAAACAGCGCAGCATACATTTGCCGCATTTAATGAATCAGTATAGTCAAGCCTTGGAGATTATACCTCACATGTCTTACCTTGTCTCGCATTCCCAACTCTCTACTCCTACAGCAAATAGATAGGCAGATGTTAGGTTAGAGAGGTTATAGATGCCGTGAACTATAACCGTTTATCCGATCCAGCCCCGGGTAAATTAAGCTCATCTGGTTCCAGAATTGTCTGCAAAAGCTCCTTCAAATCTAAAAAGACTGGATACTACCTAAACATCTGGAAACACTCTATCAAAGCTATAAAGATGAAAAACGACGCCAAAATTACGTTGGATTGCGCCTTTCAGGAAATAAAATACAGCACAGGCGTAAGAACTTCATTATCCTATAACTGTTTACAGAAAGGAAGATAGAACTATGAACAGATCTAAAGAAACAACGAGAGTTATAAAGGCCTCAATCATCCTTATCATGCGCCGAAGTTGTTACAAATGGGCTCTGCTCACGCGGTAGAAAAGGTAGGTGTCACACTTTTAATATCCACCTTTTCCCCTATTTAAATTTCAAATTTAAACGACAGACTATAGTAAAGAACACTAATCAATTAGAAAAGAGGCCTAAGTCTTCAGCATTAGATTGAAGCCGTATCACACAATTATATGGAAATCGTTCTAATTACCTAAGTTAAATTATCGAAAAAAATGAGACTTCGAAATAAATTGACTCTGATAAAATATTCATGTTAGAATGGGTTTCACTTATGCAAAATGCATCGTTTATGTTAATTAGACCAAAAGACTGCAATAAAATGGCTGGAACTTTCATGCCTTTCCTACAGAAGTCGTGTCCAATAAACAAACACCATATCTATTGAGGAAAATCCGACTCTAACAGTAGATATAGCCAGTCAACAACACAGCAACTAGCTACTCACGGGTACCCATCGGCAAAAAACATCAAAAGTGAAGGTTCTTAAGCGACAAGTGTTATACTCTCCACACTATGAGTGGTCAATTCCAACTATGAAACACTGAAACGAAACAGAACGGAATGGAGATGTTATTGTTTTCGTACTGATAACTCGTCGAAGGTAAGAGAGACATTGCACAAAACCGCTACCTCCTACTTAATTGTTAGTGGGTTAATGGTACCTATTTACAAACATACATATGGATTTGCACATATACATATATACATATACATACATATGTACATATGTATGTATATACTATACAGGGCGCGTGTGGCGCAATGGTCGAAGGCGCACTGCAACATACACATAGATCGATCCTCGCGCTCATGGCCCACCAAGCCTTCCACCCCTCCTGGGTCGGCAAAGTGGTACCAGACTTATCTGGGAGGATAGCAGCACTGGCTCGATACAATGGTAGGCCACCACGAACCATTGTAAAGGCCAGATATGCATTCAATCACCTCCAACGACACTTAATGAAGTCGAATGCTTTGAACATCCCTCAGGAATTGCTCAACGCCGAGAGCTTCATTCTTTTTTGTACACATACATACGGCTTAACAAATGAAGGATAGTGAAGTAAATCTGTTGTCAAATCATACAAGTAAGGTCAAATTATGGAAGCGAAAAAATAGGCACAGGACGTATAAAAACTTGACTCGTACCAGTGATCATCGGTTCTCGGGACCTTTTCACTTTCGTCGCAGAGGTAGCAATCCACTCACATCCGTTGACGCTACTTTGTGCCCGAACTGAGACTTTGACGGCGTCGCCTAGATATCCGTTCAAGCGAGAACGACGTAAACAGTTAATTTTTCACATCGACATTTACGTGTAGTAAATAACTCATCAACATACCGATACTCAGATGGGAGTTCAGACGAGTTACTTCTTCCGAGGAAAATGCTGCTCCAGGGATAAAAACAGATCCCAATTCGTCGCTTGATGCAAATGCTAGCGTTTCACTTACGTTGGTGACTGCGACGATCTGGAGAATTTTCGAGAAGTTCATTTATGACAAGTTATTGCGATATTCCTTAGAAATAATGATGTTAACAGACGGAAATAAAGGTTTGTGTAAAACCTAAACACTACCACAACAAGTAAGGTTCTTGCTCAAGTAAAAATACTACTATTGGGTAGCATTGAAGGAAGCATCTGCTAAATAAGACAAATTTACCTTTGCCTCACTGGGGAACTTTCAACTTAAATTACCTACCTTGTTCTTCCTCACAGTATCACTCGTAGAAGTAAACTCCTCTGTTACTTCTGTCCCATCAGCTCCTTTATTATTCCTCAACACTTTGCCCACCGGTCGGACCTTAAATTACGAGCTATCAAAAATAGAAGAAAAATGTTGAAAAATAACAACAATGACGAGCAATGGGTCGCACTTACTTATATCTTCGACTAAAACAGCCAGTCGATATCTGCATGAGAATTGTACTGAGCGCAAAATACAAAACGACATTAAAAGCAAAAAAGGATAAAGCTCTCAGTGATGATCAATCATTGAGGAAGGCGTCAGGTATACTACTTCATTAAGTACCGTTGGATCTGACTGAATGAGTATCCAGCCTTTACAATGACTCGTGGTATCTACGCATGTATCGAGCCAGTGCTGCTGTCCTCCCAGACAAGTCTGGTAACAATTTGCCGACTCCGGAAGGGTGAATGGCATTGTGAGCTTTGGGCGATGGGATCGATCCTATGTGCTAAAATGAAATTAGAAATCGAAAAACCTCTCACCTTTACTGCTCTCCATTTACACCCGTTTTTTTCTTCCTGGGGCACCATGGTGACATGTACAATGTCCCCGGTGTTATAGCGCATTGCAAAATTCGGCACGTGCTCAGATGGCGGAATGGCAGCCGCCAATGGGCAGAAAACGCTGCCATTCACAGTTTCGACGAACGCGAACTTCGTCTCCACACGACTGAGACGGCCGGTCACCGTTAGCTTCTCTACCATGCACCGATTCTACAAACATATTTAAGCAAAAATCAGTATAAAATGTAGGGCTTTCGACATCGACTTTCCATGTTTTATAGAAAACCACTCGAAAAATGTTCGAAAAGCTCGACACAGGTTTCACCGGCCTCAAAAATGGGCTTGAGAGCGACGATAACAGTGGCGATTAACATTTTTGGGACAGATCCATTCTTCGTCTAGGACGACAAAGGAACATAAAAAGCCATGTGATTCAGGAGGAAAAGACTATAAAGGAAGACGGTGTCCATTGTTTTTGACTACGCAAGCACTTCGTTCTTACAATGCTTGTGTCACTCACACAGAATCGTTCTGTCTAGAGGACATAGCGTTTCGGAAACAATGGAGCAGCCTTCGGCTATGATGTATTCTGAACAGCTTAATCTAACGCTACCTTATGTTGTCGATTTCTTAGCTTCCAATAATACATGCTGTTTCATACAACTTTCATTTGAAGGACAACGCTCCCCCAACAGTGAGTGTAATCTTATGAAATTCAGGGGGTTCACCATGAATGCTTTCAATTAGATGTATGTGGATTCAACTGGTGGAATCCCCGGCTTTGCTGTACCGGAAGGACCTATTCCTTCGGTACTCATGCTACGACATGCATACTCCTATGCACGACAGGGACGACAACAAAAACAGGGACGAAACCTTACCGGTCACTCAGTGGAGTTCCACGATGACCAAACGAACGAGATTTAAGGCAACAAATGCTCTCGGCGTTGATCAATCCCTGAGGGATGCGCCATGCATTCGACTTCATCATGCATCGTTGGATGTGATTGAATGCATATCTGGCCTTTACAATGCCACGTGAAGGCCTACCCATCTATCGAGTCAATGCTGCTATCCTCCCAGACAAGTCTGGTACCAATCTGCTGACCCCGGAGTGATGGAAGGCATGAAGGGCGATGGGAGCGGGAATCGATTCCACGTGTGTGTATTGCAGGGCGCCTACGACCACTACGCCACATGCGCCCATTTAAGGCAATACTAGGCAGAGGCCTTTCCGCACAGGCTAAGCGAACATATTTTAAGACATGAAAGACTTTTCCCATTGACGAATCGCTCATATTTACCATTAACCACAACTATGAGAGATTGCGAGCAACACAAAAGCTTAGGATGAAAAGAACTCAAATACTACATGAAAATAATCCTCGTGATCTATCCAGATCGTATGAAATCTCGACGAATGAGAGCTAACAAGTTTGCCAACGATAACACCAACCACTGAAATTCATGTGGCAACTGTTAAGAAACTGCAGAATATCTTAATCATTACGACTTAATGCTCTAAAGCTCACTATTGTCAGAGTACTTAGGTGTGACCAGACAAACAAATTTAATGAAATAGCGCACATAATTCATAGAAGAATTGACTCGTCTCATGCATGAACTAGTTCTATCGCTAATGAACTACCTGAACGTAGAGTTCTGATTCGTCCAATGATGGTTGGCTACAAGACTACCAACTCAAAGCTGCTTAGTTGAAGTTAGATGTCTGACTAGTCAGTTTGTCGGTTAAAAATGCAAGGTTAAACACTGGTTACAACGGAGGAAACTCTTGCGAGATTTGAAGAACCACACTATTAAAGATTAGAGGGGTTAGCGAACAGTACAAAGACATCCCGCCCTCACGAGCAATGGCGCCAAGGAGTGCGGATGGACGCAACCTTAGAACGACGTCCCGCCTCTTGGGTCGGTTAAGGACGTGCACGTGCAGTCAGAGGAGGTTGCGTGTTCCTTCTTTATGCATCACTTTCCAGGTCATGATTTGTAATTATTTTAACGTAGACTATATTTCAATGGCTGATTTTTGTTTTTTGATTTTTTGCACGATCCGTCATCAGATCTACTGTGTGGATCCGAGCACTTCTCGAGTTCGATTCGCTTTTCTCGCATTGGTCCTGCAAAGGCCTTTCGCGTGTTCTTTTGTCTCCTGCTTGAGAATTTCGTCTTTTTTATGAATGTCGTAGAGTGCTGATCGAGTCGATTATTCTTGCAATCTTGGAGATAGCCGGGCTAGGGCGTTACCACATGGAGTGGAGGAGAACTTCGCCTGAATGGCTATACCAATTGCTATAGCTGAGTATAAAGTTCAATAGTCCTCTCAATGGTTTATTGTCCTGTGCGCATGCCATGTGTGCAAGTGTCGTATTTTAGGGTGTAGGTCCGAGAGATGAACTCGTCCGAAAAGGTGTCTCGTGTAAACCCTTAGGTGCAGATAACGCCTTCTCTGGCATCGGGTTAATAGGTGTAGTCTGGTAACAAAGGTAATCAATTCTTGGACCCTTGGGTGGCCCAGCTTCACTGGTGGTGCGGGCCTCAGCATAATTCTCACTTTTTGGAGAGGTGATTTGCTGGTTTAGTCATTGTGGTTCCTTGGTTTCCCGAGGTCAGTCTAGCCAAAGTCTGTCCTAGGTCGTCACCACCACAGGCGCTCGCCGCTCTTGTGGATCAGAGGGGTTTACCACTGTGCGAGTAGTTTGATACCAGGACGGTGGTGGATCCTGGTACTGGTTTACTCTTACCTTGGGTTCCTGATGGTAACGCGAGACTCCTTCTCAACTTGGGAGACCCTGCTGGGAGTATGAATCCACCTGTGTACATCGCAGCCCGACAACCATGAACACGTCGCAGCGACGATGAGGCAGTAGATTGTTGGGAGGTTAATTAACACAGTGAATTGAAAATGGAACGTGTACGTCAAAATCGTCTTCTTGTCGTACCTTAACGTTTGGGCGTAGACGTTGAAAATGTGGACAATGCGTTAGTAATTTGCCTAACTTTCAAAATAAAAGTGTTGTAGCAGATATAATCCAACGGGATCCGCAGTTCGTTCAAAAACCGCACCCTATCGAAGAGTAGATCACCGTCGCACAGCTTCTTTGTTACCTGTCAGGCAGCTACCCTGTCATGTGATGATGAAGAAAGTTTGTGGTAAGAAAGCGACTAGTACATCTGAGGGTGGTCTAAAAATAACCTCGCACACTGGATCCGACGTTGAAAAGAGTTTCAGTCGAGATCTGATTTTTGTCAAGAACAAGTTGGACAGGGAAACTTCTCGTAGTGTAGGGAAGAAGGTGCACAGAACGAGGCGCACCAATTCGATATGGGTTTCACAAGCGAGGATAGCTTCTCCCGTAGAAGTTACTATTTGAGTGAAGCCATACCAATCGTAGGGAAGTCATCGGCGAAACACGATACTGTCATACTCTGCACTTCATAGTTTACAATCGCTTACCGCTTCACCGGTTGTCTGTTTGTTCGAACGTCGAGGACATTTGAACTGATGGTCCTGCTTACATATAAAGGAACAAGTCGACAACGACTATAATCGTTCCCCATCTAGAACGGTTTCCCACCGAACAAACATCGTTACTACGTAGAACGAGTTCCTTTCTCTCAAAGTGGCACCATTTCGTCGAGTCTGTCTAACGGTGCACTGAAGCAAAGAAGACGATCAGGATGTTACATTTTCGAAGAACCCACTGAAATGGAAACAATGTGATGGAAGACGTTAATGGACAAGGAAAAAAGAGGTTGGAACAAATTGTACGGAAAATTGGGTTCATTATGAGTACACAGTACAAAGTTCTCATGAATAGATAAATGAGCACGTCCTAGTCATTACTAAGACATTTAATAAATCTTAGTTCTGATCAGAAAAGCTGCTCGGAAAAGACACCAAGTGAAAGACGGCGAACACCTTACAGAATCAGTTTGAGAGAATTGGTGAGCAAGTCATGTATGCAAGTCTCCGGATGTATATAGTCGTGTCGACGGTTCTTCCCCTGTGCTGTATACTGGCTCCACTTTGAAGAATAGTCCAAGCATCGCATTCTGTACTCAATGTCTATTCCATCCACAAAGTCCTTGCTTATGACACCGACACACACTGGACCGGATCAGGGCTGTGCAACTTGCACGTTCCTAAAATGTCTCCTATCGATCGATACGAATAGGTTGTGAGGTACGAAGGTGCAGGAGAGAGGTGGTTCAATAGGCATTTTGGTCTTAGAGGGAACTCATTAACATTTACTCATACTGTGAGTTCACTGAGATTTATTCGAAGTCCACAGTTTGGTCTCGAATTTCCTGGATTAGAAACCCATAGATTCAGTCAGAAGATTGGGCAGTTTCCATACAGACTTCCACTGTGCCTTTCGTTTGTTTTCAGTAATTTTCACACAACAGGTTTTACAGTTGAAACAAGATTGCTAGTGAGAAAACAATTCTTCCTAGTCAAAGAAAGCGTGCACACGGTTATTACCTGGTAACTTTTTCAAGTACTAAAGTCACATCGGAGGGGCTGTATAAATTTTGACGATTTGATCAGGCCACCTCGTCGCCTCATCGTGGATGGGAGGTGTTCCTGGGTGTCGGACTGCGATGTACAGCGGTGGATTCCTCATTCTAACCGGATCTTCCAAACTGAGGAGTCCCGCGTTTCCATCAGGAAGCCCAGCTAAGAGTAAACCAATACCAAGATCCACCATCGTCCTTGTGTGAAACTAGTTGCATGCCGGCAAATCTTCCTGTAATTCACAAGAGCGGCAACTGCCTGTGGTGGTGATGACGTGGGGCAGACTGGTCAAGCTGACCCCGAGACTCCAGAGAAGGACAGTGGCTAGACCACCAAAACCCCGAAAATTTCAGAATATGGTGAGCTCCGCACAACCAACGGAGGCGCTTCATCCAAGTATCCAAGGAAGTAAGGCTTGATTAGAACACTTTTTGAGTTTTATTCCTAGTATTTCAGGTAACACCACTTCTCAACTCATTCTGAATTCAGAAGTTACGATTCATCTCTATCAGCAGGAGTATGGCTGATCATCGAGCGCCTCCAGTGGGTGGCTGCTATCCAGTAAACAACCACTCGTCACCGTCGTCCGTAACAGACATTGGCCAGGCGCCACCCAGGGTCCTTTATGTTTTTGTTTTTGCATGTGCTAGCCACCTGTGGATCGCTTGATAACTCTGCCCTGACTTAGCAGTTTCTTACCGAAGGTATCGAACTTGTCAAAGTGTCTGATAGTGTTGAAGGAGTACACACCGCAGTTCTACATCCACGACAGTTCTGTTCGTCTGTACTTCTGTAGAACGGGTTTTTCGTTAAATAAGTTATCCTTTTTCCTTCCTCTTTCCTTCTTCCTTTTTTCCTGCAGTTTTTCTCGATTACTTGTTTCCTCATCATGGTCTTCGTAACAAGGAAGGGGGAAGGGTGAACGTTAGGAGTTCTTTATTGCTTTCATGGAGAATGTCCATCACGAATTCCTTGTAATTTGTCTTCACTCAGTCCTTGTTAGTAAACTGGAGCGGTTTCGTTGCCTTTAACAAGTCTTATCATGCGTTGTTCTCAAAAATCTTCATAAGCATTCGTTTTCCCTTTTTTTTCCTTCTTTTCTTACTTAGTTTACTTTTTAGTTCATCTTTCTCTATTTCAGACATGATGGTTGTTCCTTTCATGAGAAGATTGTTGATTTCTACCAAAATTGCCCCATCTATTCGTCTGTTCAGCGAACGCAGTGCTCCTTTCAGTTTAGAGCGACTGTCTGGCAAAGATGAAGGTACTTATTAACTAATGAGGAGGGAGTTAGCACTTTTATCGTTTCTAGGTTTTATCTCTATTAAGTGCAGAGTCAAACATATATGAGGCTCTTTGTAGGTATCGCACTATTTACTATGAACTACCCGGAAAAAAAGAATGCCCTCAGCAAATTATTTGTACAGCAGGTGAACATTTCTCCTAATCAGATCGTTCTATTTACTTTCCTAATTTTAGTGCTACAAAGTAGCTTCTCAGTTCAGCTAGCGTTTGCTTTCAGCTAAGAAAGTGCGTCGCAGCTGTTAAATTCGACAAAAGTGTTAGAGTCGTAATACTTAAAAGTGATGTGGAGGGAACTTTTTGTTCAGGTATGAATTACTATCACGGGATGTCCTTTATTTCAGTTCAGTTTTTAAATGTACATACGTTTTGAAGGCACGTGTAAGGCAGTGACTGGAGGGTCCTACAGTACACATAGGATTAATCCCAGCGCCCCAGGCCCACCGAACCCTCCACTCCTCCGGGGTCGGAAAATTGGTACCAGACTTGTCTGAGAGGATAGCACCACTGGCTCGGTACACCTGTAGGCTACCGCGACTTTATTTTAAAGGCCTACTATGCATTCAATCACCTCCAATTATGTTAAGTGAAATCGAATGCATTGCACATCCCTCAGGGATTGATCAACGCTGGGAGTTCTATCCTTTATCCTTTGTTTGAGACAAAATTTGCCATAAATAGTGAAATTGAGCTTGAGCAATGAATAAGTCATCTTATCACTGAAGGATAGTGTCGATCATATAGGACTATGTATAGCGTTGTTTAGATTCGTGAGGTTGGTCATTGACGTGACAAGCGACGTCTATTTAGAAATAAGATTTTTAGGCGCGGACCTAAACGAACGTAAGGAAATGTCTGTCGATGAAGTGCCCAGATTTGTCGATTCATTGCGATCATCATTTACCGAGGTAATATTGAGCTAAATGTATAAAATAAGGTAGACTATAACTATTCAGTAGAACGATGTATCTTGTTCAATTTTTAAATTCTTTTCTCTGAATGATTATCAGATCAGGACCCTATAAACCAGATCTGTCGTTCAGTAATTACATTCGAATTTCTTTTCCCACCGGTCGAATCGTACACTTTGAAGGTTTTGCGTTCCTTTTCAACTTGCTTGCAGTTGGAAACTCTCCCTCAACCTGTCATTGCTGCGATTGATGGCTATGCTCTTGGAGGTGGTCTAGAATTGGCTCTGGCTTGCGATATCCGCGTTGCTTGTGAGTTTTAGAAACCGGATATCTGGTTTTTTTCTCCTTGGCTTTACGCTAAAGCTGTTTTGTTCAAAAAAGGGTTGTGCCTGGAATTTCGATAAGTTCGAGTTCAGCACTGTTGTTTGATGTTCATGAAACCAATGCAACGATTTCCAATGTATTCCAGCTGCTAATGCTAAGGTTGGTTTGATCGAAACGAGATTAGCGATTATTCCTGGAGCAGGTGAAGTTGTTGCTTTAATGTTTCTATTGAGTCCACATAAACGTTATCATCCCTGCTTTAGGAGGAACACAAAGGCTTAGTCGAGTAGTTGGAATATCTATGGCCAAGGAGTTGATATTTACTGGTAGAGTGATCAGTGGTGAGGAAGCGAACAGAATAGGCCTCGTGAATCATTGCACTCAGTCGGATGCTTTTGCTAAAGCTGTGGATATTGCTCGCGAAATCCTTCCAAAGGTAAGTGTATAGATCCCCTTAGTGGACTATTATCTTTCGGTCTACTCGACCATTGCCGCCCAGATTTTGACGAGTCTTCCTGTCATATAACCTACCGACCCATGTTTCATTTTAAGTGGATATTCTTGTACTATGAAGCTGGCATGTTTATCGAATTTTAAGCTGCGAAATTTTATTGGATCTCAGCAATGCGGAAGGACGTTGCTTCGGAAGATGTTTTTCCAATTCTATGCTTAGTGAACGACATTACATTGAGGTGTTAAATTTAAGCCATTGGTGGCTTCTTTAAATGTTCAGAGCTGCTCCGCTTTCCGTCTAAAGAGTTCTCATCTGAACTATCTTATGGTTTCTTTCTTGTTTTACCCTTCTCCATGCTTTGATACCGTCGGCAATTGTAGTTCTGATTTATAATTCAGCAGTACAACGAGATCATTGCTTCGACGAGGGTTTCAGGGGAATTCCATCCCTCAGTCACCAAAAAGGCGCTTATAAGGAATGTGTTTAGAACCGACACCAGCGTGTGCACAGTTAGAGAGCAGAGGAAAGAATCCTCGAAACTGGCGCTGCAATTAGCCATTTCAAATGGTTAAGAAAATGTAGCTTCTCGGCATAGGCATAGAGGAAACACCACGCCCCAGGAAGATAATTCTAGCGAAAACAAGGCTCCTTCCTCTTGCTCTTTATTTTAAACGAAATAAGTGCAGCCATAAAATGTTGCATAATAAGGGTCGGTCTAGGGAAAGAATTCGGTAACAGTGATTGAAATAACATAGAACACTCTAAGACGCTAGTTAGTTCGTAACCGCCTATATAACCGTCCATGTACAACGAAAAACTGCATAATTTGCTCTAACGGTAGAGGCGGTGATTAAATGAGTTCGGGTACGGTGTACCTAATTGCAAAGCGTGTGGGAACGATTACATCGGCGAAACGGGTATACCGCTCTGCATTCGCTTAAAAGAACCCCTAGTCGGTAGGTCTAAATTAAAACCGGAAACACAACGGAGACCTGACTCGACACGAAGGCGAAGTCGTCACATCGAGACAAATAACAAGCTTGGACCATCGAGTCGGATCATCGGCTTTGATGAAGACAAAGACGTCGGAATGTTAGCCGAAAATAAATATGTTTATCAACTTCATGTGAGCTCATCAAGAAAGTAGATATCATCTTATGCTTATAATGCTGTCGATTACCGTCAAAGTTGTCCAACTCAAGATTTCCTGTTTCTTTCCTTTGGAGATAAATTGGAAGAGTTTCGGTGCAAACGGGAAACCGAGACAGCTTGTGTTCTCGTAAGACCATGTCAGTAATGAGTCTTGTCCAGCGGTTTTCGTGAATCCACCTTTTTTCATTATCGTTGCATATACAAGAAACTGAAGGAGTTTTGGTTTCTCTATAGTACTTTGTCTCTTAGGAGATATTCCTATCGGTGGCCCGTCGATAACATTTGCTAACCTGACTAATATTCCGTCTTGCTGACGTAGCTTGTAGGTTTCTGACGAGTACGGTAACACGGAAAACATGGTAGAGCTGACCTCTCGTTTCCTCCTATTTGGCTTTGTTCATCATGTTGAATTAAGTATTTATTCAGAGGCATTGGACTCGAACATTTTGTGATAGTTGTTATGTCGACCAACGTCATTTTCTGGAATTGTATACGTTCCTCCTTCCTAAGGCTTGATATTGTAAGAATAATGTTGTCAGCAAGACGAAGATTGTACAGTTACATGATGTGAAATGTAGCACTGGTAGCTATCCTTTCGGTGTGCTATGGCCTTCTTCAACTTCTCTCGATGTCGGTGATACCATGCTTGGAGGATAGCAAATTTCTGGTTACTAATGTGCTTTAGAGGCTTTAGAAAAATAGACAGCTATAGTAATAGGTGCTATGTTGTGGAAATAAATTATCAATACAGCACCATACGATACCTGACAGGTAGGCCACGGGGCGATTTTACTTCATCGATGCAATAATTTTACTCGTTGAGAATACGAAAACTCATATCTGAAGAACTCACAACTGTGAAAACTCGACCCTGAAGAGGGTATTAGTGTTGAAACGATAGCCACAATGAAGTTTTGCGAATAAACCGCTATCTTAATTATCTATATCGAGGTTTCCTGAAAGTCTTTGCTAAACTTGTTGCTCATGCTGTGTAGAGCGGGAAGTTTACGGGATAAAGGTGTAATTCCGTAAATAAGCTAGAAGAAATAAGTAGCATGAGTAGCTGAGTTGTTCGCGCTTTACTTTTCGACGCTTCGTTAATTATTCCTGCACTGACGTATGTTTCATAGGCCCAGGAAGAACATGAACAGAAGGTTAGCGTTATCATAATCAATACACGGTTGACGAACGAGAGGAGGATCTTATAAGAGATAAAACAAGAAAGAGATTTAAGGTTTCCCTTTCACTTCGACATTCAAAGATCTCTGACGTCGAAAATCATCTAGGTCGGACATACATCTTGGAGAAGACCCTTATCTAATGCTAACAATGATTTGTCATGTGCGCAAGAGGAAGACTACTGCCAAGGTGGCCAGAGATCCTAGCAGTGAAACGTAATGCTTTTTAATACCCTCGACTTGGCAAGCCCTTGGGGAATTCTAGCATGTGACAGGGATGAATGGAGACTCTGCTCTCTTCCGAACGAAGCGTTAAGGTCTCCCAATCTCCATTCAGTGCTCGGATAAGAGTAGAGCACGGTCAGAATTTAATGTTATCCTGCGAACAACATAGTAAATTGTAAGTGATGACGACTTGGGGTAGCACTTATAGGTGAATAACATGGCTGAAAGAAAGGCGAAGCAAACGACTCACATGGTGTGGTGGTGAACGCGTTAGCGCACGGAAAGGATAATAGCGTGTTCGCTTTCCACCGCAGACACCAGCTGTCTGGAGTTTTGTAAATATCTCAGTATTATTGCGGTTATTCCGGTTCTGTTTGTAGTACACGAAACATATGGGGAATCTAGCTGGCCTTGTTTTATTATTTATTCTTTGCTTAATTTTTTAGTAGAGCAAACTTTTTTTGAAATATTGCGGGAGCGAATATTTTCTGAAATTAATTCTGGGAAGGAAATATATAAAAGGTTTACGCCTTTTACAATCACACATTTTTTTTTATAAATACGAATACCCTTTCTTCACGTGAGTTGTTCGCGATTTTCTGGACGGTCTTTACTTTTTTTCCCAACATTTGAATTGTATGGTGCATCCAATTGCCCAGACTTTTTGTTATTTCTTAAGATAGTGTTAGAAGTGATATGCCATGTGCAGTACTAAATTTGAGGGTCCTATCGCTATTCGAGTTGCTAAAACTGCCGTTCGCGTTGGTTCTGAAATGAGCCTGGACTGTGGCTTAGTGATGGAGCAACAGTGCTACGCTCAAGTGAGTTGTTACCTTTCTTGGTACTACTGTTGTTATGTATATTCTAGACTCTGTTTTCAACATGAACCACAGGTGGTTACAATTCCCGTTTTAGATAGTACCTACTCAAGATCGGCTGGAGGGGTTACGAGCATTTGCGGAGAAGAGAACTCCATCCTATAAAGGAGAATGATAGAAACTGCAAGTAGATTTTGTTATCCGGACTCGTTATTCGTATTCCACCAGTTTCCATTTATTGTTTCGTTTATATTTTCGTGCGAAATAAAGTTTCTATAGTGAAAATCGATTATTTTATACTTGGAAGGTGTCACCTCGAACTCTTGAAGTCTCCACGGTCTTCTTAATACGAATATAAAGTTTCTACTTAGCAATGCGGCTGTCAAGTATATTACACAATAATTGGGACCTGATGGTGTCAGTTGCACTCTCTCGTCCTCAAGTTCTAGCTCCACTTATGAGTGACGTTGAAAGAAGGTTTGAATTTGCATTAAAAAAATATATATATGGGACCTTTGTATGAATCTATATAGACTTGAATATTGATATGAGTACTTTCTTCATACATTTTTATATCCTTGCAGCGGTTTACTATGTTATAGTGGGAGGTGTTCCTGGGTGTTAGGTTGCGATGTACAGTGGTGGAATTCATTCTCCTTCCCTTTAAGCAACATTTCCCGTGCTGAGGAGTCAGGCGTTTCCATCAGGAAGCCCCAGGTTAGAGCAAATCAGTAAGTACCAGGAACCACCACCGTCCTGGTACCTAGCTAGTCGTCTTGTGGCAAATCTTCCACTGATCCGCAACACCGACGACTGCCTGTGGTGGTGCCGACCTGGGGCAGACTTTGATCAGACTAACCTCGAGGCTCCAGGAAACTACAATGGCTAGACCCACAAAACTCCAAAAAATGGAAATCATTCCGGGGCCCTCACAACCAGTGGAGAAAGGTTATCCAATTATCCAGTAAGTGTTTGAATACATTTCTTTATATGAAAAATCTTGTCGTTAGATATGTTGGTTTTTATTGCCCTCGGTTACGAGTAAGAACATCTAGGTTTCACAATTTGCAAATGGAAGAGGAGCGCGAAAAAAGCTTGTTGTGTGACTTCGAAATGAAATCTATACAAGATGACAAGTAAGTTATTCAGCAATGCACGATTTTGTGGCAATGTGTTCGTTATTGTTACAGGCTGATTGCAAAGCGTGAAGAGCTTGAACGCAGTGGGAAAGATCTTTCAGAACTTGAAGAGCAAATAGGTGTTATTAATGCAACCATAGAGGATGGCTGGAGTAAGAAAGGAGAACAGCTAATGGCGAAGTGTGTGGCTATGTCTCTTTGTCTTTCTACTTTGTTCTGAAGTGAACATATTTTTTTCTGATAGGCTTCAAATCTCTAACGATTCTGCGCGTGATGTCAATGATGAACATAGCTTGCAACGTATGCTGGACCGAAAACTTCTTCTGATTGTACAGCAGCGATTTGAGCAGGAGGGTTACAAGAGTCCGTGGATTTTGCCTCAAATCAAGCATGTTTCTGGAGAGAGCTTACGTGATGTTTGTTTTCATTTGGTCGTTCCCATCTACTTTATTAGAGGATTTCGTTGTTGAGGTGATTTTTCGGAGGGTTTTTTTGAGTTCCGTTATCCAGATATGTTCTACTTCTCTACACTGAAGGCATTAAATTATGTAGAACTGTGACACCTCTGACATGTGATGGACGGTGTCAGTTTTTCGACATTAGCCAATAATCTCTTGATTACTAGGGTAGGCTCTGCGTTATAGCTCTTGAGTAATATATATATATATATATATATATATATATATATATATATATAGGGAAGTTTTCCTCGAATTTTGTCTTACGCCCGTTGTTGGCTTGTAATTTTGAAACTTGTATTTTAAAAAATCGAAAGCGAAATGGTGAATTTTTAAAGTATCCGACCACGAAAAAGGCAGCAGCGAACATCAAGGACAATGATTAGGGGTAGAGAGTCCTTTCCTGGTGGGTGAAATTCCGTTTCAATAGCTTTGCTATTCGAAATACAAGCGTCGACGACAATAGGGGGTTATAGAAAAGATACTTTGTAGGCTACAGAAAATGGAGATTTTATCCAGTATACGGAAATATCTTTTTTTCTGTTGGCAATTAACTCTAAGTTCTAGAGGTTTCTATTCCAATAAAGTATTCTGTGAGCTTAGACATGGAAAGTGGGAATGTAATATTTTTAGCCACGCATGAGTTCAAATCGATGCATATCGTCCATTATTTATTAAACTATGTATTTCTTCCCTTCGAAGGTAACCGATACTTCCTTGTGTTAAAATTGTTAGTTTTCAGACGGCAGAACGTTGTTTGAAACGAACGGCAGTTCGGTTGGAAGCCTCCATATATGGAAACGCTCCCTTTGCCGTATTTACGGATCGGTACTGTTCCATATATAAGCATATATGTGTATATATAATATGTACATATATAACTCGAAAGACCGACTTTCTATAAACCTCGGCATAGATAGTTGATGTATTTATTGATATGATCTTATAAATTGATCTTCTTAAGCTGACGCAAGGTTGGTACAGGTCTTCGTTGTCGTTGTCGTCGTTTTTGATGTTGTTGGTCAATGGCTGACGTTTCGGTGACTTCGCCTTCCTTAATCCCACATGTAACATCACGGCTTTGAGGAAGGCGAACTCGCCGAAACGTCAGCCATTGACCAACAACATCAAAAACAACGACAACGAAGACCTGTACTAGCCTCGCATTAGCTTAAGAAGATCAGTTTATAAGACCATGTAAATAAATGTACACATATATATGTATACAGATATACATATTTGTACAAATGAAACCTTTGCTCTTGTAGTTATCCAAAGCCACTCAGTAGTCGCTTAGCAAGGGAAGGTGCAAAGCTGTTTTTCTATCATGCTGTTGTAACACCTAACAGCGCATTTTCGCCTAACAAAGAGGAGGTTTGCTTTTCACTTTTATCTTTTCATTTTTTATTTTTAACGAAACGAATCAACAAGGTGCCGAGATCGCGAAATATGTGGATGTTAACTTTTTTAATGGCTATTATTATTTTCCACGGCAGGTTATGATATGAAATATAACTACTATGATGCTGAGATATTTGCAAAACTTAAAAGCAAGGGCCTCAGTGGTGCAGTGAGTAACACGCGAGCCCCCGGAAAGGGTAATCGCTGTTCGATCTGGAATAGGGTCTAGATTTTGCAAATATCTCGGCATCATAGTGGTTGTATGTGGATACTGTTATAGTCTCATTCAGAAAACTTTACATGAAGAAGTTGGTTTTTTTATTCTTTCAGAACTCTATGCAGTTGGAAAAACATTGACTCACTTGTTGGAGTTAAGCGGATTGTGTTCTAAGGGTCAATTAGGCCAAATGCGTGCAATCAAGTGACGAGGAAGTATATGGAAAGCTGATAGGAGTCGCCTCGAACAAATAAGCTTCCCGTCTACTCTGGGAATGACTGGCTAGCTATCCGCGAGTATGCTTATCCCTTCGTTCAGAGCTTAGCAACCTATACATGTTTATCAAAAGCCAAACAAGGTGAAATAAGTGGGCGTGGTTTCCCTGATTCCTATGGAGCCCCGGCTTGGTTGCGCTGAGTAAAACTAGAGCGCAGAGGATGCTAAAATCTCAGCAATATTCTAGACTGCTAAATCTCGAAGGATTGAGGTGACGATCTTTACCTACATTCCACACACACTAGCATCGGAGTCCTCGACGGAGAGATTGATCATGCAGACAAGAATGATAAGGTGCGACGTCATCAGACTGAATGAGATGAGAAGATGCCTCCTATTCAACGCCGTCTATGGCACCGTAGAAGAACTTTTCCTCGGAACATGCGGCATTGGAGGAGTTGGCGGCGTCGGCGTTGTCGTCAACACGAGTTTATCCATGAATGTCGATTCATTCGAACAGTTAGCAACTCGAGTCGGACGTTTACGGTTGAAGAGACCGTGCTGTCTCTGAAAATCTACGCCGTTCACATACTACATCGAGTTGTGACGAAGGCGAAGTCAAAGTGTTCTATGTGAATTTAGAGAAGTTCTGGAGACGAAAGTATAAGAATGGAATGAGGAGGGTAAGGGTCTGAGTTTATAATGATGGCCGAGGCCATTTGTAACTTTCAATTTCGGAAGCCCCATTCTCAACGCTGGACGTTTAAATCTCACATTGGCGAGTACCATGACGAAAGAAACCACATCGTTCGAAGGTTTTGACTAACGATGTTATTGTTTTCCCAGAATTCTACATTTCATCAGAACATCGCCTCCTCTGTACACGATTTTATTTCTTGGCGAAAGAAAAAATCGCGGAATTCAAAAACCGGACTTCGAAATCCACCACGGTCTGGGATCCGTTCAGATCATTAGTCGGCTATTGGAAAGATGTCGTTGTTGGTGACATTGACGAAGAACACTAGTTCATTTCTCCACGTTAGCTCTATGAATGCTAAGAGCACGAAAGTTACCAAGAGACGTCTGAAAGTCTCGAGCTGGTATGCCAGCGCGGAATTGAACGAGGCATAGCAACCGCCTGCTGACGTCTGAACTCAGAAAACAATGCAGAAAGGCTATAAAAGAAGGTCTTAAACAGAGGACTGCGGTAGTTATGGATGAAATTGCAGAAGCTGCGAAAAGCATTCGCAAAGCCCACCGAAACTTCGCCAACAGCAGCACCAAGATGATTGCATTCAGAATCCCAGATGGAACGTTTACGGCTTCCAGAAATGTAATGGAGAAAATCATTTTCAATTAATGCTCAGATCTCTTTAATAACCATGTTCTCCTTTTTTTTAAGAAGTAAAAGAGGATGGATATATCGTTTAACCCTTTCTTCCTTCCAAAATTCGACATGTTATTTCTTCAGTGAATTGTCAGAACACTGGATAAAGGGCATCGACATGGGCAAGCAGAGTTTCGAAAAGGATACAGTGCGGTAGACCACATCCGCATAATAACTTGACTGATTAGGAAGTCTCGAGACTTTAAGAAACCGCTCTGTTTTACTTTTGCTGATTTGAAGAAAGCTTTAAGCTCAGTTGAGATAGAAGCAGTCATGGAAGATCTGGCGTCCCAACCCAGTATGTAAAGATTCTTCGTGGTCCATGTAAAAATTTAACTAGCGAAATATCACCAACCTACAATAATGTTAACATCGAAAGAAAGAGTTTCAACGAAGAGATATCTTTTCGCCGAAATTATGTACTGCGACTCTTCAGGACGTTGGAACGTTCGAATGGTACAACGCGGGAGTGGAAATCTATGGTCGACAATTACGCCATCTTTGCTTTGCTAATAAAATCGTTCTTACAACACCAAGCATTAAGCACGCGGAACGACTACTTGCTGACTTTGGCAACGATTTTTCTTCGACTAAATCTCCTAAAAATGATGCTCTTGAAGAACATATTCGTTTCTTATGCCTCATTCACCCTCAATAGGATGAACATCTCCGAATGCTCCTGCTACTTCAATATAGGACGAAAAACCAACATGATGAAAAAGTCAGCACCAGAGTTGAGTAGGAGGGACCGAAAGACGTGGAAAGCTTTGAGTATGGGGTATAGTAAGGAGGAGAAAGAACGAATGATTCCGTGCCTACCTTTTCGACTGCACGATTCTTCCTTCCTTAACCTATGCGTCAGAAGCCTAGTAGATATGTAAGGAGAATGATGGATTACTCAGCGTTGTAGAACACGCACTCGGGAAAGGACGATACTAGGAGTCTCCCATCCACGCAAATGAGGTAAGCGATCCGAAGCTACGATCTACGTCAACGATCAAAAATCAGAGGAGCCGTTCTACATTTCAAGTTGTCGAAAATGAGCTGGGCGGGAAAAGTGACGTTTATGAGCGTTAACCGATGGACAAGAGCCTTAGGTGACAGGATTCCTCAGCATGTCTAACAGGCAGCAGAAATGATAACGACCCCATTGGTCAAAATTTTTTTTACGAAAACCTTAGATAAAAGATATAGTGTTCAATCAGCCCGTTTAGCGAGGAGAACTCACTGGTTTGCTTTTACTCGCAACGGAGAGAAATGGTAGGTTTACTGGCGCATGTTTGAGTCACTGCAGGATCAAAGCGATGACAGGTGGTACAACTGATCATCTAGTCTTCTATATAATTTTACAAATGAGTATTCAACTATATTGTAAACTGTCAACTCGATCGATTTGAATCACTAAGGCTGCGAAGATCGGAGGATGGATATATCGCGGTAATGTTCATCCACAATAAAATGTTTAATATTACCAAACACAAATATATTAATACTTCGTTTCTGGAGAGGTAAAGTAGAAATTTGTTCACCGAGGCAACACCGTATGCTTTTCTTACAGGAATATAAGATTTTGTCGTGAGTTTTGGAGTTTTCAGGTAGTTGAGTACAAGTGGGTAACACGAGAGGAGTTTTGGTCGGTGGTACGGTCAAGAAAGTACAAAACCTGTGTGAATACTGTCTTTCTAGAATAATTCACTTTGGCGTTTCTCTTTAATTGTTGAGCTAATTTAGCTTATGTTCTTGTAGTTCAAAGTGTTGGTTACTGTTTTTTTTTAATGTATGAAAGGTTTTCTGTGGCAATTCATATCGTATCGCTTATTTTTCCTTATCGACTTTTCGATCTTAGCAAAGTCACATCATCAAAGTGAAAAACAAGTTCTCGAACTCTCCTCCTACCCTATTTAGTGAGGTGGTTCTTAATATTGTAAATAGTGATTCTGCATCAGGTATCTCCATCATTTCTGAAAGTATATTTTCTCGTTATTATCTCTTTCTTCTGTGTTCACCTATTCCTACTTTAAGCTTCTCTGTTGTCCCCTTATATTCTTTTATCTCTACTCTATGGTTTTGTCTTTCTGCTTTTTTCCCGTCCAAGTTTATTACTCATTTTTCAGGTGATTGTTTATTTTTTTATGGGGGCATTAATTTCCTCTATTCATCATAAGAAAAACATTTAAGGCAAAGGATATTTTTTGGACAGACGACCATTTTGCGTCTGTCAACGCATTGTGTAGAGTTGTTGACCATGTTTCTTTCTGAAGAGGAATGACCGGTTTTAGGGATCGCTGAATCAAATGAAGTGCTGACAACAAATTTAACGGCCATTTTACCTCCATTCATCTACTAGCCAGCCTTCACGGCAATACTCCGTCCTCCCTCTGAGTTTTTTCTCTTGAGTACTAGATTTTGACCATAGAAGTTCACACTTCGCAGAGTAGTTAAATAGAACCGTAGCTATCGTTGTCCCATTGCGCAATTATTTCAATACATATGTGCCTGAAGGTAATTTAGCATCTCATTATGAAGTGTAGCATAGCTTGTAGTGAATGTGTTGCTTGAAATGAAAACGATTAGAGTGTGCAGGTCTTTAAGGAGTATGGATGTATTAATGAGATGATGGCTTGTGACTGTACGGTATTTAACTCAACGTTGTGACAGTTTATGAGACCGTGGTGTCTGGTGCTATTTGAAGGAATAAAACGTGCGGTGACCCGGAATCCTCCGTAAGTTTACACTGATTAATAATTTATTAGTATTAGTAAACCTGACCCTAGTGAGAGTAGAAGGAGAAGATTATAAGGGTTCGACAACATTTCGTGAATTGTAGCTGCCTTGTCTTCCACAGTATGATGGTTTCGATGGTTTTCCGAGGTGTGATGGGCTGTTCATTGTTATGGTAGTTTTGCCTTACGGTACAGCATGGTTTTTTTCTGAAGCAGGTCACGTGACCAATGTAGCGCGAAGGTACCGCTTTCGTGTTGAGCAAGCTAACTGACAATTATTGTTGGAGACACACTGAAGCAATACCGCGGGAACTGTAAATGACCTTGACTACATATATAAAGAGGCTTGTGTATCATTGGGACGTAGTATTGCCGTCTTTTATACGCTGATTTGTTGCATTTCCTTGGACTGTGCGAATTAATTGCATGTTTTAAACAGTACTAGAGTTCTTATGATTTTTGTTCTCTTTGTTCTCTCTCTTTGTTTCTGTTCTTATGATTCTTATGATTTTTTAATAATTTCTTCCCTCTTCGTAAAATTGCTAGCGTACTAATGCGAATAGATATCACAGAGTTACGACATTTCAACAATTTCGTGCTGAGTAGTGGATTTGTGAGGTCATGTTCTAAGCTATACATCAGTGCTCGACATAATTAATGGAAGAACTGTTACACCCTGTTCCTTACCTTCTGCTCTTTAGGTATTGTTGTCAGCTCCGTAAAAATCATTTCTTGTTCTTATTGTTGTTATCTTAGTTGTTGTGATAACAATGGTTGCTGTATAGATAACGTGGCTTTCCGTTATATTCAGAATAACAGAGTCAGTTATATTGCTTACAATCAGTCTTAGGGGCACGTGTGGCCGGAAACGCCCTGCAACACACATGTGGAATCGATCCCCGCGCTCATGGCCCACCAAGCCTTCCGTCCCTCCAAGGTCGGCAAATTGGTTTCAGACCTGTCTGGGAGGATAGCAGCACTAGTTCGATACATCGGTAGGCCACACCGCGAGTTACTGTAAAGGCCAGATATGCATCCAATCACCTCCAAACGATGCTTAATTAAGTCGATTGCATGACGCATCCCTCAGGGATTGATCAACGCCGAGAGTTTTATCGTTTAACAATCAGTCTTTTAGCTTCCATTATTCTCAAGAGAAAGCTTATCCTTGAGGACAGGAATGGAAAATGGATGTTATTCATTTATTTCAATAACACTGAAATAGCTTAGAGGTTCTGAAATTGAACATTCATTATGCTAAGGTATGTCGAAAGAAATCACAGGTTGGAGTTGCAGTGCCTATAAGGTAGTATTCCCTTCACGTTGTTAGGATGTAACCTTCCGTCTTATCTCAGTCCGTTGTACCATACCTTCAAATCTACACATATATTCTACACAGAAACATGGAAACTATTTTTGTAACGAATAATTGAATTCTTAGTGGTACATTAGATTATCAGC